GACCTTGACCTGTGGGTAGATGACCCTTAGCATACTAACATGACATTGGATACTATAAAGACAAGTCTCAGAGGTGCAACCTAATGGTTTTCCAACTATAATGATGACCAAGCTTTGCTCAAGGTAATCTTATTCTGAACCTTCTTTAAATTCTTACATTCACAGTATTAATTTACCTAACAGACTTGGGGCTCTTGGCGGAGGCATTCCTCCACTATACCGAGAGTTAACCTTGCCTGTGACACCTACGGTAAACCTTTTTGTTGTTAAGATTGGTGAACCAAAAGCTAAAGGTACTTTCTAAACCAAACCAATGGGTAACGACTGACATGCTAAGCTGAAGCAATTTTGTCTAGTAACAACTAACCACAGTGTCTAATGGTTATTGTAATTACCAGAACTTGGTTATTGGCATAATTTGAAATAACTCCGCCACTGCAAATCTTCAAACTAAGGGTAGGCTATTTCTTATTACCTGTTGAATTTTTAATAGTTCCTAAAATTGGTCAGGTTTATTTTCTATTTGAAAAAACCCATTAGGTTAAACGAGTACAGGTTTGCTGCTAAAGGAAAGCTAAAAAGGTGTGTTTTTTAGTAAAATGTGAATAGCATAGAGAATGCAAAAAGTAAATTTGCCAAATTTGATCAGAATACAGTAGAACTCCGATTATCCGAATCAATAGGGACCAGACCCCATTCAGATAATCAAAAATTCGGATAATCGGAGTTTTACCGGAATTCTGGGAATTTTAAAGAAAAATCCTCATTTTCGGTACTAAGTGAACTTTTAATTAATAATAATTTAGATCAGAACATTTTTACAATTTACAATGCTCATAGTACAAGTGTTCTATACATGTTATTAAGTCAATAGTGTTCCATCAAAGTCCAAAATTGGCTAAATGTGTTTAATAACAATTCTTTGATATTTTGCAAAACTTATTACTGTAGCTTTACGTTTTTAAAATTGTTGAAATAAGCAATTCGGATAATTGGAGATTCGGTTAATTGGAGTTCGGATAATTGGAATTCTACTGTACAGCCATAAATCAAATCATAAAATCAAAATGCCTTTATTCTTGAGCGTTTCTCAGTGCATACAATACTGGTTTACAGAATAACTCACGTTACTAAAACTAAATATTTACAAGTTAGGTATAGCAACAAATTAATTGTGTACATGAACAAATATACAACAATAATAGCAGACATTCTTTAGAATACATTTTAATCTTCTTTTGAAAGCTAAGGTCGAAAGGCTTTTGAACTGATAGGGGAGGTCATTGTACATGGTTGGGCCAAAATAGGAGAACCCCCCCTTTCAATTCCCAAATTAACTTTTGGAAAGTGGAGGAGGGTGTCCTCAGGGTGTCCTGTTTGTGCCCCGTCGAGAAATTGCTCCTTGTGTCACATGTCTCTCCATCAGGTATTATGGTTCTCTGTGAGATAACACCCGATGGATGAGACAACAAGTTTGGACTCTACATACAGCATTGGCTGGCAACAGAGCAGCAGAATCCCGGAATGAGGATATGTATTCCCGCTCATGAAGTCCATAAACAAAAGGAACTGCGGTGTGTTGCAGCCTGTTAAGTCAGCAGCCTTCATATCCTCCCGGGAAATTTGGTTGCTGTCTGCAGGAAAGCAAAACCAGAGACTGAACTAACTTCAATGTTGCAGTCTCTGGAAGAATCTAACGGAATCTGTAAAGTCCTGGCAGCCTTCCCAAAGCAATTCGAAAAACGTTCAAGTGATGTGGTAGGACTGTCAAGAACTACGCCCAAAGTCCTGACAGTGTCACAAACCCTTAGCTTTTCCATTGTCAAGTTGAATATGCAAACTACAACAGTTTACTTATCCTCAATAAGAATAACATAGAAATTTTAAATTTACAGGTTTTTTTTATGTACAACAACCCTTCAGTGGACTAGATTACTTATTTACTGCGTCCTACAAAATGGTTTGAGAAGAAATTGCTAAATTTTATGTTTAGGGGTAAAAAATTGAGCCCGCAAAACCCCAATACGGAAGTTTGATCATGCTAGTTTGCGAACTCGTTCAAATAAATGTAGATTTCAAGTTTGTAGGCCTCCCAAATTTCATCAAAGTCGGATGATTTTTACTCAAACTAACATGCTAGAAGACACACACGAATATATTAATTTGAACTAATGGTGTTTTTGGCCTATAGTACTCAAAACGAAAAAGTAATTAGGTACCAGGTCCAGGTCTTACCATGAGACCTACGGCTTTTGCTGAAACTAAAATGTTATAGAGGCTCATTTAGTCTTTTCGTAGTCTATAAATCAATAAATGACAGTTCAATGAAAGTAATTTAGTTGATAACAGACATGCAAATTCAGGGTCAACTAATAGCTTTGCTTTTAGATACACAAATCATCAAAGGTGCATTTATCATTCTTATATCAAAATTGAAACATCTTCATTAACAGTTCTATATACTTTGTCTACTTCATTAAACAAAGTCAATGGTACAAGTAAATTATACAAACATAAAGTGTATGAGCAAGAAAGCACTCCTGCACCCTGGAGGTGAAAGTAGAAACTTGAAGATTTACTTTCCCTCTTGTCTGGTAGATAGTGCTGTGATCACATAAAGAAATTGGTCTCAATGTAGTCCTAGTTTAGTCTGTTGTTTATAAAAATCTAAAATTTAAACAAATTTATTGTACGCTACAGTACGCTGTACTCTACTAATTGTAGGCTACTAGCTAGATATTCAGACAGAAACAAACCTTAAAATCGTTTATTGCTGAGGGTGTAAAATGTACCATATGTTTGATGGTGTATGTTGAAAAAACTGTGTTTATGATGTATTTAACTTTAACTTTTACAACTAAAGCTAACAATATCAACCCATAGTAGGCTAGCCCCGCAATTTCATAAGTAAGGCTACTAGTACCGGTACATTATTATTTTGTTACACTTTTTCTACAAGTGTTAATAAACCTTTTTCGCTACCGGTACTACTATTAAGTATAATTCACTTTTAAAGGCTTAATAATGGTAGTATATTTCTCAAAAGACTCAAGGACTTACTTTTAGCTTAAAAATTATATCTCGGCATTGAAAAAAACAATGTCCTTACTAACTTATACCCCACCTAATAACTTAAAATTATAGCTAATTATTATGTTATGTAACAAACAATCCTGATTTCCCACAATATTATCTGGAGTAGTTGAAAAACTGGCTCTAGTGTATTCAATCCAGAAGGTCAACAGTTTAGTCCAATTTTTTTAATGTGCAAACATTAAAAATGCTTCAACAAGTTGGCAGATTTAATGAAATATAATTTTATATTTAAAAATAGTTACTTATTGCACACCCAAATATTTTTAAGAAAAATAACCGACAATACGGTGTTTAAGTGTTTTTTAGCAAAATTGCTAAGCCTGGTAGTAAGTTGTCATAATTTCTTCTTGATAGGCTACTACAATCTTGTAATTTTCAATGCGTACGGTATGCACTTTCTTGGGTGAGTTACATTGCCTAACTTAGTTACAACTACTGACTTATGAAACAGAATTTGTGTTAAATTATGCTAGGCTAATGCCGGCGTAAAACTGCTGGGCCAAAATTAGTTTTAATATATCTCTACTAAGTGTTTCAGAGGACACTGGCCTCGTAATATGAATTTGGTATCAATAAAAAATGGACAGTGTAGTATAAAGATACTGTTCCTAACAGCACAAGCTAAGTGAGGTCCAGGTAAGTGCTCCTGGTACACTGGCATAGCCTACTGCATGAATATAATATATCAAATAAACAAAACCGTATTAGACAATAACATGCTTGATTCCCACAGTGTTGGAGTGAGTTTCAAACACTAAGCTCTGTGATGAATGAGTTTACCTTTTTAATTTTGCATGGCAGTACATTCAGAATCTAACATAGGCCTACTTAAAACTTAAGTGTACAGTGTAATTAGTTTAGACTGTCAATGTGTTTATTTAACATAGGTAGCCTAGTAACGTTTATGCCACCGTACTCTATGAATTACACTTTAAGTGGCTATTTGTCAATATGTATGGTTGACTGGTTGATTTGAAAGAGGTGGTTTCAGGGGTCCTCTTAAGTTCTTGCACACATAGTAACCTAGTGAAGATAAGAAATGAGCACTATTTTTTTTTAAACATTGATATTTTCAATCGATGTTTGATGCTGTTTCCATTGATAGAGTTGGCTGCTCTTTAGTAGCCTATCTGTCCTACGCTCATTCCAAAGAATATATCGAATAATCTAGATGTATCGATATTTTTATTCTCGAATGAGTGTAGGACAGATAATCCTACTAAATTGCAGCCATAGAGTTTACCGTCCTGATGTTTTTGGACAGCCATAGAAATGTCTATGTTTTTTGCCGTGGTGATAATAAATAGGCTAAATTTAAAGAATGAGTAATAAGTTAGCTTAACTTAGTAGCTTGGTTGTTAACTCAATTAGTTGAGGCAGAAAGCAGAAGAAAAACCAAAAAGAAAGACATGATGTTCTCGAAACAAGGTTATCGTCAACCTATCGCTCAAGCTTATCGCCAAGGCCTACGTCAATGTTGACCTATCAATGCTCATCAATAATATCAAAACGAATGAATTTCGTGAATACAAGCCCCAAGCTCTCCCTCTCCCAGATTCATTCAATCGCCTGTAGGGTAAAAAATCAGGTGTAGAGTAGGCCAGGTGTAAGTGATGCTATTTGGCTGGTTTAGGAAATAGGTTAGACTAAGTTAAGGAAATAAGTTATCTCCAAGGAATCATAACAAATTTAAGGTTAGAATCTTACCGAAGTTTCAGCTATATCACCTTAATTCCAATAGGCATAATAAAACTGCAAATTTGAAAATGTTACATGATTTTGTAGCCTAAGAACTTAAATGTTTACATTCCTCACAATCATCATAAGCCTAGGCAACTTATTAAGAATATCAACGTTCCTTTGGAAATAAATACACCAGAAGAATGCAAAAATCGGATACTTACATTTCAGACATGAGGCTAAGATGCACTAGAGAAAATGAAAAATGTGTAAGCTATTCAGAAAAATGAATTAAATTCTAAAATGGAACATAATAACAAACACTTTACAAAATTGCGCGCTACGCCCCGAAAAATTTTAACAACAGCTGACTGAATAAATGTTGATCACATGATCCAACCAAGAAAAGCCGGCCGGCAAAATCAATGACTGAAAAACAGTATTGATTTTACGCCATAGAGGAAGGAGGTGGTTTTAGCGCATACTGTACTATCTATTTATGGTTTTCCATTCCTAAAATTGTTTAATGTGTATAAGCATAGACTAACCAACACAAGTAGACTTCTCATCCCATTGTAGATTTTGAAGCACGTTTTTCGTGTCTAGTTCATGTACGTGACACATGGGCGCTAGTGTCGACGAAACTTTGTTTCTATTATTTTAGGGTTAATTTCTTGATTTGTGCTTTACTGTTTGGTTATATAACTAGGGGACAGGTTATTGTTTATGATTAGATCGTATTATTTGGTTAAACGAGGTTTTAAATGGCTGTAATAACGGGAAACAAATTGTAAACAAAACACGACCTCTACAGAAAACCGTACAGAACTAACAATAAAACTGTCTTCAGCTGTTCCATAAGGATGAGAAATCTACTAAGGGAGTATGTTTTATCTATGGTATAAGGTACTGGCTTATTGCAAAGTTATTAATAAATCAAACTAATTTGACATTTCCATTGACTAACCAAACTGTGATATAATAACTTAATAATACCACATGAAATCTCACGTGAAAAATACACACTCATAAAGGGAGTCACCTCACTTTTCATAACAGCACGAATCGATTGATTATTTCTCTTATCGAGAGTCGTACCTTTGGTAAGTTGTACAAGGTCGACGATTGGCTTATAATCGGACAATTATTGATAAATGTACATCATATTATGATGTGGAAGACGTTTGTAAACGTTTAGAGAGTTGCAGTAGGCACTTAACAGTTAAAAGTTAATAGTTTTTTTTTTTCAAAAGATTATAACAGATAACTTAGTTTTGCTTATGATTTATTGTGAGTGAAGAAACTGAAGATGGAAGGATTTATGATTTAATATGAAGTAGAGTGAAATATAAAAAAATGTTCATTTAAATTTAATAATTAGTATTTTTGCAACTTCAAAATTGAAATTGAACATGTCAAAATAAATAAAAAGAAAAGTATTTAAGGGAGATGAAGGTAAATCATGTATATCATGTATCATGTGAAGGTTTTATTCGAATATTTTGGTCAGTTTTGTCATATCAGCCTACACAAGATGATTTAAAAGTCATAACTTAAACCATAGATAAAACATAGTCCGTTTTTATCTATGCTTAAACGTTTCTATTAAGGCCATAAAGGTTGAATTTTGTTTCTATAAGCCTTGGCGGATGTGTAACTATTATATGCAACAGACAAATGTAAAGATTAAAATGTTTCTAATTTGTGTCATCTTCCCGTTGCAAAGCACGGGTACAACAGCTAGTATAAAAAAACACATTAATGTTGTAATGAGTTACAAATGGTTCGTATGGTTTTTGTATATTTATGTTATCCAGCTATGTTTTTCTTGATCTTTAAAATACACTCCTGATCTTTTATTTTATCTTTTATCTATCTTTATTGTTCAGGTTACATTATCAATGCATTTTAACGCATAGCACAAACCGCCATGGTTGCCCTCTCCCCCACACCTTATCGACCACCTTTTGAAATAGGCGACATACGTAATTTTGATCACCACAGTCCATATTACAATACTCAGCAATAATATTGCGTACTACTTTCATGCATACTCAAACCCCTCAGCTCCTGGACTATAGTCGGGGCCAGGTTAACGCTGGGCAGACCCGCAGGCCATAAAACCGATAAGACCCTATTCAGCCCGGTCCTCGCCACCGAACCCTATTATGCCGCTTCGCTGGGCGCGTGACTCACTGCATCGGCAGTACAGTACGCCAACGTGAAAATCTTTATTTTTTTAACTACGTGAAAAATAATGTGATATTCTTGTTCGTCTTAAAATTCTGACAAAATTGATATAAAACTGAAATAAATCGGCTTATTTAATAGTTAATAAATTAATGATAAGTTATGTCATGTAATAACACAGACATTGTATGTTATAAATTATGATATAGTATATGATATAGTATTGGTAAGTTATTCAAAACTTGTCTGATAGAACATAGTTCATAATTATACATGATTAAACTATCTGTTTTACTACTAATCATCAATAATAATTATCCACTTCAATTTGTTTGCAAGTATTTTCAAATTATATGAAAATTACGAACATAATACTATCAGATCTTTAAGAGTGACTCACAGTTGTTTGTCTCTTAACACGCAAAATTGACGTGCTCTCCCTCATTCCTTGATGACGCGTTTCGTTTCTACAAATTGGTGATTTGTTCGGCGTTATTAGCGATGAGTAACGCGTTCGTCGAGCGTTCAGATTATGTTGCACTTTACCCTGGCGTTTGTTTTCCTTATCGCCACTGTATGAGATATCGGTCAGTTGCTGTTGGTTTCTGTTGCGAATACGTTTGGCTATGGCAGAGCAGCAGTTATTGTCTCCCCGGAAGTACATTGTTGGAAGAAGTCAGGCGTCTTACACTAGTGGTGAACGCAGGATCATTTTACATGTCTACGGTGTGTTACGTGAAGAAAACCCAAATTTATCGAAGAGAGAAGTTGCTGAGAGGGTTGGTGTTTTGACTGGAGCAGGAAGAGGCACGATAGAGAAACTAAGGAAAGAATTTGAAGAAGGTCCATTGGTCACACCGGGGAAAAAACGGCCAAAGAGAGTGGGTCAACGACTCAGGATTAATAAATACAGCGACTTTGAGAAAACAGGAATAAGAAGAAAAATAAAATAACAACTTAAGTTTTTATTTTTAAATAAACCACCTCCAATTTAAAAAAATCAATAAACTTACTTTAAATTTATTTTTATCAATTACTATCTATATAACATTATGATAGCTTGTAACCGTAAAAGAATTTTCATTTGTCAAGATATTTGAAAAAAAACCTGTTATTTTTGGAAACCAACGAAAATACTTGCAAACAAATTGAAGTGGATAATTATTATTGATGATTAATAGTAAAACAGATAGTTTCATCATGTATAATTATGAACTATGTTCTATCAGACAAGTTTTGAATAACTTACCAATCTCATTTCCCCCAAATAAATTGATACACTCTTATTTTTACTGAAAGTGAGGTGGATTCTTAGATAAATATTATTGTTGCCTAAGAAGTAAAACAAATCGTTTAAGCATGTACATTGTGAACTACAGTACATTCAATCAGATAGGTTTTAAACGATTTACTCATGTCATTTCCCACCAACCTTTGTTTCAGTAGGCCTACCCCCTTTTTTCAAGTAAAGTGGACTCTTAAATAAATTGTTTTGTTATTTTTTTTACAATAATCAAAATTTATTTCCTTGATTTCGAGCAACGGGTTTACTATTAATTAATTGTAAATTAATTAAAAGAATTATTATTATAGGATCTAAGCATTTATAAGTAGCAAGTTTTCTTTTGACCTTTAAATAAACGGAAAGCATTATCAGGATTGAAGTATCCGCGCGTTTATTGTTTTTTATGTTAAAATACAGAGATTTTCTTTTTAGTAATGACCCCCCTTGACTGCTTTTTGACCTACTTTTTATACCATATCATAATTTATAACATACAATGTCTGTGTTATTACATGACATAACTTATCATAAATTTATTAACTATTAATTTATTAAATAAGCCGATTTATTTCAGTTTTATATAAATTTTGTCAGAATTTTAAGACGAACAAGAATATCACATTATTTTTCACGTAGTTAAAAAAATAAAGATTTTCACGTTGGCGTACTGTACTGCCGATGCAGTGAGTCACGCGCCCAGCGAAGCGGCATAATAGGGTTCGGTGGCGAGGACCGGGCTGAATAGGGTCTTATCGGTTTTATGGCCTGCGGGTCTGCCCAGCGTTAACCTGGCCCCGACTATAACTGTTCCGTCGTCTAAAAGCCACTGTCGCTTAAAGATCGACAACGTGCTGCGTTTGACGACTACGCTAGCGCTACTAGCATGTATCCCCATAACTAAAGCGCGAAACAGTTCGTCTATTCACCGCTAGGTGTCACTCAAACAAAACTTTTAATGTAGTGTAATATTATCAATAATTTAAATTGTATTAAGTACACTAAACAAATTTGACCTTATCCAAACAAATTATAAAGTTATTTATTTCAAATCAGTTACCAACATTCTGGTATTAAACGGTAGTAGAAATATAAAAACGCCGTTTTACTTTTTAGCACTCGCAGATTCTTTGTGTATCTCGCTCATATAAGGATCCTTTCAACTTTATACTATGTACTTATTTTTATCAATATCATGTGAAATTCTTTAAAAAGCCGAGAGTCGACCTTTGGTAAGTACAAGGTCGACGATTGGCTTATAAACGGACAATGTACTAATGAACATCATATTATGATGTGGAAGATTTTTGTAATCGTTTAGAGGGTATTCCTACCTTTGTTGATGTTATTTTTTAACATGGTTTGTTTTTATTTCAAAATCGATATTTTCATAACTAATATAAATGTTGAATATTATTTATAACAGAGGATCATGGCCTTTTTAATTTCAAAGGTTGTTTAGAGCACTTTTTGTCTGTTTAGGGGATAGTTTCATTTCTCTAACTTCTGGTAGTCAATGACATTACTGAACCGACTGGACAATGTCAACTTCGCCTTTTCATGTAAAGTAAATCCATTCAGTAACAATTCTGTCCACTAATTAATCAAATTAAAACTGTTTCGTCCCTATCTATTTTAGACATTAAGATAGTTCATTCAAAAATACACTTTTAAAATTTCATGATAATATTTACCCTGGTCCTTGGCATAATGCCCCGGTATCTTTGTTATGCTGCAATTTTTTTTTTATCAAGAATATCATTATTTATTCAGTTAATCTATAAGTATAAAAGAGGATGTTTGTATATATATTTGTTTGTTTGTTTGTTTGTTTGTTTGTTTGATTGTTTGTTTGGCAGGGATAAACTCGGACACCGCTGGACAGATTCTAATGAAACTTTTAGGCATTATTAAGCATTATTCAAGGAAGGTTTGTGTGAAGTTTGGTGCTGATCCGTCAAAAGGGCTCCGCCCCAGTGGCTCTGGAGTTTCCCATGTTAACCTTATGAGAAATGGAATTAATGAATCTTAACAGCTGTTTCAATTAAACAAGTTCTATGATCTATGATATCTATGGTATCTATGTTCTATGATTGATCTGTTCTATGATGTTCAATAGCATTAAAGTTACATGGATTACCAACAGGGTGCAGCACTATTATTTCTTTTACATTTATGACAACAGCTAATTTGCAACCAAAAGGTGAGTGAGCGTAGCGAACGAACTTCAACCTGGGGGCGAGTTAGCGTAGCGAACGAGCTAACCTGAAGGCAAGTGAGCGTAGCGAACGAGCTAACCTGAAGGCAAGTGAGCGCAGCGAACGAGCTCCAACCTAAAGGTGAGTGAGCGTAGCGAACGAGCTCCAACCTAAAGGTGAGTGAGCATAGCGAACGAACGTCAACCAGGACGTGATTGAGCCATGCGAACGAGATCATCTTGAAAATTAAACGTAACGGTACTTAAATTATAAATAGTCAAAGGCAAGACAACGTCTGCCGGGTTCAGCTAGTTAGTTATAAAAATAATACTACTTACAAAAATATTCGTATTTTTTAACGATTGAATAATAGTATTTCACTACTACCTGGTTGTCTTTGTTTCAAATTCAATTTATTACATCTATAAAATTTAATTTAGGCTACTGTAATATTTTGTGTTCTCGTAAACATCCACAACGTGCTGTGTTTGACGACTACACTAGCGCTACTAACATGTATCCCCGTAACTAAAGCGCGCAACAGTTCGTCAAGTCACCACTAGGGGTCACTGAGCCTAAATCCATAGAAGTGTTTTTAATAATTAATAATCTCCAACTATCAAGGTACAAAATCAAATTCAGCTTTAGTTGCAGGAAAGCATCATTTTATAAATGATAAAGTATAAAGTAAAGTTTCGTGATTCAAAGGCGTGGTTGTTTACTATGAGAAGTCTGTATCTGTTGGCACTCGCAGGGATTTTTGAGTTGGTAGAACATGACTAGCTACTAAAATCAAAGGACCTGATTCTATAACAGCCCTGTCCGGGGAGTTTCGGCTTCCTGGACTAAATATCACGATATTTTTTCAGGCAGTAGGCAGGATCCGATCCAGGGATCCAGTGATCCAAAATATTATTAGAATTATTTTGTTTGATTAGGTAGCATTAAACAAACTTTGATTTTACTAGTTTCTAACATAACAATAAAACGTCACTTACAGAAATTTGCCATATTGATATTATAGACCATTTACAATTAATTTGCATTATTTCATTATTTCTGTTGGGACCATATAGCAATACAAAAATTTATCGGAGAAATCTTTCGATATGGATATGATTGGATTTACTGTCTAATGTTGGCAGTTCTATTGTTACATATTTTGTCGTGTGATCATCCACGGCCGCCTTAACTATAACTCCAGGCCGCGGCCTTCGAAGTGGCAACGTCGCAAGTGGTGTTGTAACAGCTGTTTTGTTTGGAAGCAGCTAATGGTATTTTTGTATTTGCGAAAGTTTGGTTACTGGACTATGACAATATGACTCTGCTTAAAATGTACAGATATAGATTTTTATTCAATATTGTTTCAATTTTCAATCTTGTTTTATTTTCAATATTTTAATAAATTTATGTTCATAAATTTAAATTTAAATCAATAAAGTGCGAATTAATGAGCTGATGCCACCTGTCTGCCATGTTATCTTATGGGATGTCTGTTACTAAACAACACCACTTGCGATGTCGCCAATTCTACCAGGCCGCGGCCTGTAGAAGGTGGCCATGGATCATCTTGGGCGCACAGGGCAAGTATCAGAAAATATATTTTGAGCACCCTTGGTGATTATGAAATCATAGTTTGTAGAAAGCGCATTGAAGCATTATTCAGTCAAGATGAAAAAGATTAATCTCCGATTTTTATTTAGTCCACAAAACTAGTGGATCATATATTTATGAATGGACATTCACAGTTAGTTGTCAAGCCAAGTAAACTTTGTTTGTTTAAACACAATTTTTCAGTTTTGTACTTTAATATACTTAATTTTTAAGATCTCACGCTGCAGTTCTCTATGTATGCATCTGATGAACTAGTGTTTTATTTGTCAGCCTTTGAGATTACTACTTCCTTCCCCTCAACTCAAACAGGAAGTTTTGTATCTCATATCTGTCATCGTCATCAGAATAATCAATAATAACAACAAACAAACAAAGCTTTCTTATTCCAGTTATTCCAGAGGTTATTTTAAAATTAGCATTTTTGTTCTGAAGTTTCTAAAATAGTCTGGGGAAGTTTTGGACTTGAATAAAATTCAATCAACTTTGGATAAAAAATACCTGGTCATAAGTTAGAGTTTGTAATTAGTTTCAAATTGATTTAACTATAAAAGATTCTGTTCAGTTATTAAACTATTATAATAGGCCTAAAGATCAAAAAAGTTATATTGTTTTGTTAAGTAACATATTCATACAATCGATACCTATTTATTTTATTTGCCTTAAAAAATCATGGAAACAAGAGAACATCGGGTAGGTCAAGGTGGTTTATTTCATTCCCACAAAGTGAAGTACAGCAAAGACACTCAGGATCTTATACACAGTAAGAATATACATTTAATTTCTCATTCAACCCATAATATCTTTGTTTAGAAGATGTTGTTGTAGTTGTATTAAGTTTCACTTTAACTTACTTTTTCTCCAACTTAAGTTAGCCTTGTAGAATTAGGCTAAGGACTATAGGCCAAACATTTTAAGTTTAAGATGTTCCAGTGTTTATGTATGTTTAGTAGTAAACCTATATTGATTTAAACTTAAAACTAACTTATCTTTTTAAAGCATACCTTATGTAAACAAAACACTGAATTGTAGGTAATAGATATGAAGATATACTTAAGGCCTAACTTAATTAAATAAAGTTTTAAACTTGTGTTCATTTATGTTGTTGGTATTTGTTTGGTAAGGGTTTTCATCAAATAATTTAACTCTCCTCTGCAAGATTAAAATCTTATGTGAAGGGATAGAATCTTCATAAGCATAAAAAAAGCCAGTAAAATTTCATCAACCTACTGATTTTCATATTCTTAGCCTTATTCAATTATTATATTTATAATATTTGTAGAACACAATCATATGTTTAAACTTACTTTTTACTGGTTTTACCTCCATGCATTATTTTTTTCAGATTTCCATAAGTTTTATAATGATGTACGGTAAGTAGGCCTAAGTTAAATAACCCATCCAGATCTAATCTTCATTTTTACTACGTAGATTAGGCTAGCCTATTCATTCCACATAATGATTCCTTTAAAAGGAGCAAAGTTTACTTTTTACACAGCAACATTTTCCAGGGCTTATAGAAGAGAGTAAACTATCTATTTTACAAAGGCAGACATTAAGAGAATCGGTGAACCGAGGAGAACCGCTTCCAGGGCCGACTCCACATGCGAGCACACGTAGCCACAGTGCATCTACACTTAAAAATGGAGAGGTGCGTCTAGATAGGTAGCTCATACACCAACATAAAACTGAGTTTGAAGTAAGGAAAGCACACATGAAATAATGGTGTGTAGGGCAATCACCTCAGAGTTCATCTAGGTAAAATGCTGGAGTTGTTTAGTAACTCAGATTTGACAGATTATAGAGATTGCAACTAGGTGTACAAAAAGCTAACAATGTAGCAGATGCGCCTAGAAACTAGAACTAGATGTGAGCTTATTGGTAAATCTAGCCCTTAGCACAGCACCAGATTACTAAAAGTGTTGGATTATCGAGTGGCAATTAACTGTGTTGATATTTATAATCATGTTAGTAGGCCTAACTTATGTCATGGAAAGTGTGTATAAATTCGGTTGAGATGCATTATTAGTCATTTTAGTCAAAGTTACTTTCCTAAATTGCAGGAACGGGTTTACAGAAATTTTGTAGAGATTTATATTAGACTTTTATGTTAAAAAGATGCTGGTCCCTCCAGCCCTGCCTCGTAGACGAAGCTACCAAGCCATTGTGAAATCTGGAGCTTATCAGCGAGACCCCTTCGACCCACCTTTCAACGTCAATATGAGTAAGTCGCTATTAGACTCCAAAGACAAAAATTTTTTTTAAGTAGGCCTACATTTAATAAAGCAGGGCCTCAGTCCAAATAGATTTCAAATGCCTCAAGTGACTACTGTATCTTCTTTTGCATTAAATTTTTGTATTGCCTTCTGGATTACTTCACAATTAACTATCTACTCGTAGGTATTTATTTATACTACTAAATTAGTATTTATTTATACTAAATATTTAGTTATAGTACTAAGTATTTATTTAACTAAGTCTCGACTTAGTTACCTTTGCTGTCAAAGTAAGCTTCATTCAGTGGCGTAACGAGGCGGAGGGCCACAAAATAATGTTCTTTTTCTCTTGGAAAATAATCTGCTAGTTAGGGGGCCCAACTTTCCTAGTCGAACTTTTAACGATCACCAAACGTGCCTGCAAAGATTGCGCGATCGAAAATCAGAACAACAGCGATCGCGGGTGAAATTAATCAGAGGTCTCGCAACTGCTAAAGATGTTCACGATTGCTCCTAGACCACAGAGACGTTCATGATTTGGTCGCGATTGTGGGAGACGACGATGATGTCCTTGTAAACACAGAAGTTGTTCAGGATTTTGCCACGATCATAATGTACGGTAATGGCCTTGCGATGGTGCAGGATGTTCATAATATTAGAAGTCGTTCACGAATCCTTTACAATCGCAGAATATGCCCACAATTTTACCTTCACTATGACCGCAGGGGACTCAACTCCGGATTTGTCATGACTAAGGCCAATTTATTTTATTTTCTATTCAGTTTTGTATTCTTGATTTCGCCCCCATCGTGGATGACGATAATGTTGGTATGTTAACAATTTAGTCTTACGGCAGGATAAGTAGAATAGCCTATATCCGTGCGACCGCAAAAGATGTTTAGCCTTCTATTCCACTATTCAATTCAATTCAAACCTCCGCGACCCCAGGAGAAGATGACCCTGCAAACACAGAAGACGCTCACAATTTCGTCGTTACTGAGGACAATTTAGTATATTGAAGCATTGTTGTATACCTAAGGGTTACAGAGAAAATTAAAAAAGTATGAATTTAAAATTCACTTGTTATTCTTATGGAAAATCATAAATAATCTGTTGTAGTTTTCTTGTTTATGGACATATTATAGTAACATTTTGGAAATTTTGTTTATTTATTACTGTTAACATTTAAATGTGTAAAATATTTTGATTACTTAGGCTAGCCTACGTTGTACAAAAACTGATGTTTAATAAAGGTTTTTTTTATATAAACATGCTCTTCTCTATGTGTGAGTTTTCCCAGTTATTGAGATTTTCTTTGCTTTGTCAACTCAAAGGTTTAATTTTTTGAGGTTTTACAGTGCCGCAAGAGTTTAGAGAAAAGATGGATCATAAAATACCCCCACCGCAGCAAACCTGCTAAGCAAATATTCATTTGCTTGGTTGTATTTTCAATCAAATATCTCCTTAAAATGTCCGATTCATTTCATATTTAAATAACATTAGTTTATTTAAATTCATAGTCTTTGCCTGTGGCATTTTAAAAAATAAATTAGCTGTTGGCCTATCCTACAGTAGTTTACAGTTAGCTTATTTTTAACGATCATATTATGAAGCTTAAAAATGACACGATATGCGTTAAACTGGCATAAGGATTGATTACACGTTAAAAACCCAAAGAGCTACATATATTAAACTATTGCTATGAGTGGGAAATTGTAGTAAGCAAGCAAAAATATCTACCTTCCACAAATAAAAATATGCATTAAAATAAATAAATATATCATTTATTTATCAAAACAATAGTTTTATTGAAATTAATCAGTCTTAATCTTGTTTTTAGAGAACAGAGATGTTGAGAAACAAAAGTTGCAGAGTTTGATGACATATGGGAAGGAACTACCACCAGATCATCTCGATGTGAAGGAACAACTGAAGCTGCGTCGAAACACGGAAAAACAAGATCCTGATGCAGATGCTGTATTTGATCACTGTAAGATATTTTCTAGTTTCTTTTCTCAATCGGTGAAAATAACAGTACAATTTTAATAACAATACTACAGAATTTTGGAAAAAATGTTTTAGTTTGATTGGAGTTATGTAGCCATTTTAATATATAATTTTAATAAGTATAACGTTATTATAGTGACGGTACAAAGGCTGCTATTGATTCAACACACTCTAAAGACACTATTTTTTACTAGATAAAAGTGTACCAAGCCATTAGTGTTTTTTTTACTCAAATTAACAGTTAAAATACCAAAATCAGCTGTTTAATAAAACAGCTGATTTTGGTATTTTAACTGTATCCAGCACAGTACAAGTGTGATCAGTGTACTCTGATACTAAAGTACTGGGCTTAGGACTGTTTATTAAAAGCCCAGTACTTTAGTATCAGTACACTGTCCACACTTGTACTGTGCTGGATCACCTCTTTCTTGGCTGGATACGGTTGTCACTTAGTCCTGGAGGCGTATGTAGAGAGGCAAATGCAAGGACAAAGGAGGCCGCCAATCTCTTTATTTAAAAAATTAAAAAGTTAAATCCATCAGTCACTGACTTTTTCCAGAATAGAATTGTCTTAATATTATGCTATGATAAAAGAAAAAACTTTTATGATAATATAGTGCTAAAAATGTATAAATGTATGTAAAAATGCTATAATGTGCTATCTTATCGATGTAGAGATATCGAACTGGTACTTATTGATGAACTCTATGCTCACCAGATTATTCACTAATTAATGAATCCCTTGCGCCAAGTTCATTTTAGGTCAGGTTAGGTAAGTGTACCTACCTGCTACCTGCCTGTGTGCTACACCTGCTAGACATTTTAGCATCACCATAATGGTTATATAGTACACAGTTTCAGGTTGACTAACAGAATTTAACCATTTTCATTTCAGTGGTAGAAGAGGTTAGGGAGCGTCTGGAATTTCTCCATGAGATGGAAGGTCTGGGACAGGCAAAAGCTTACCAAACAGTGATAGAACAGGAGGTTGCTGCTAAGATGAGACAAATGGCTAAACTGGACCAAGAAAAGTTCCTAGGGATGAGCGGCAGCCTGGAGGGAATCAGATCTGCTGTGAAGCCAGCGAAAAGAAACACTACTTGTAACATCAATAATATCTTCCCACACGACTGATGGTGAGACAAAAAATTAACTGGTCGTGACGGAAAATGTGGTAGTTTAGTATGTGGTTAACAAAGCAGAAATGAGTGAGAATTAAAAAAAATGTGAGCTTTGTCTTAAAGAGAAATTTGTGATTGGACACACTGTTTGAATGGATGTTTAGTAATGTGTACAAGTATTTTTAAATCACTCAGATATATTTTTACAAAGTTTTCAATATTAAAATCTTTTTGTAATTTTAAGAAAACATTGGTTCATGTAACATTTATGTGTCATGAATACCACAAGTAAAGATATTTTTGTCATTGTATTTATTTTGTTTGTTTTCCTCGATATTTTAAAAAGATGTTCCAAAGCTCTATGGACTATACAATCAGATTACAGTTCACACACCCCTAACACAAAAAGGCAAACATACTTACTTACTTAGCTAATTACTGATCTAAAAGACAGTTACCATTTGAAGACTTACTATGCAGCCGGCTTCTTCATGCTAATGTGTACTACCTCTAGTAAACTCCCAAAATCACACTCATCTGTAAACTGGAAATGGATTTCAACAGGGATTTATCACAAAAAATTCATTTTCCTTGATGTGCTGGTATTGTAAAACTATATCTCAGAGCCAATTACATTGGCAGGGCTTGTAACAGTATTTGAGGAAAAAAAAACAAAATCATAAAAAATAATAAAAAAATAAACTTATGAATAAACCCAAAATGTCACTAAAAATGCCAAAAACCGGCGTTTTATTGGGATACTAAAAATATGTAGGCAATAATAATGACGCAGGATGGTTTTGAACAAGGTAGGCAATAATGATAAAATATTTTGTTTTATATTACTAATCCTACCCCTTTTCATTGGGGGCATTTTATGAGTTTTAAAAGTTTTACAAGCTTCATCAAAATCGATCAACATAAACCCAATTGTAAAAAAAAAAAAAAAATAACCAAAATCCTCCAAAAAATAACCAAATTCATAAAAAAATAACAAAAAATAACCAAGAGCAAAAATAATAAAAAGAAGCTGTTACAAGCTCTGCATTGGCTCTCTTTAAGCGTTGATATTTCTCAATTATTACTGTTGAACACCCATACAAGCATTAGCTCAGATAAGTTGCTCCGGAAATCAAATTTAGAGCTTGCCTAATGGATAAATTATATTTTTATGTACTAATCTTCATCTCTATGGAAACAGCAAATAGTGTATTATAGGCCGGGAATTAGGTGTTTACAGTAAGATCATCATAGTATTTCATGCTAGTACCGTCGCTGGAATCACATCGTCTCGTTACGGTAATCGTGTCGCCTCAAGAGAAAACATTAGCCACTAGAGATATGACGTCACTACACCTTTAGCCTTAGTCCCTCCCGTGTGCCCATTCCATAATGGGTGAATCGTATGTGATACTTTTGGGCTTTCGCTACAGTACCAACAACAAAAGCATAATCATTATCAAACAATACTTTGATGCAAACTTCATACAAAAGTTGCCTAAAATTTTGAATAAAATTGTGATTTTAAAATGATTACAACATATTTCTTGAATAACAATATATATTTAATTTGATCCATTCAAAATTCTTAAGCTTAATTAAATTAAAGAAACCCTTTTCTTCAACACAAACTAAGACTGTTAAGAACTATTACACAAACGTTAATAGTTAAGAGCCTATTTCAAGCCTATTTCATATAACAGTTAAAAAATTGTTCTAGAATTTTGTTGCAGTCTTAATTATTATCTGAAATTGAGCAAAAATAAAATATTCACACAACCATTGTACATAGATTAATACTATAACTCACTGCACTCACTGCAAATCATCACACATACTTGCAAAGTTTTGAAAATATTTCATTCAATTTATTAGTTTTGTTTTTTTACTTTTAATCATAAGCAAGATGTTATAATAGCAGTTAGTAATTTTATTAAATAGTTTTTGATCCATTATCAAACAGCACGGTTAATTAACATCAATCACATTGCAAACATACATTTCATTTTAACATTACCTATGTGAACTTAAACTTTTTAAATTGTCCATTGGTAACTTTAGAATTGTTAAAAAAGAACAGTTTAATATAACAAGAAAAGATTTTTTGATCACAAAAGAGAGCCTTTTACATTAAACTACACATTTGGTTTATTACATAGTAAATTATAATACAACTATATATATACATACTAATAAATTGTTAGTTGAACTTTGGACTTGTTTAAGCTCTTTGCAAAGGTACTTAAGAGTCCTTTGAGGCTAGCGGCCATCTTGGATTATTTCAAACAGATGCTGAAGAGTTAATTATTAGTGTTTACATCTCGGACTTCGGTGCGGGAGGGACGGGTTCAATCCCCGGCACATCCACTAAACATTTATCTCTCGTAACTCTCTCGTGAAATGCCACTGGCGTTGAAAAAAAAAGAGATATTTGAATACTACCATTACAAAATATTTGTTTCAAATACCAAAGTAATTGTAATTTAAATATCTAGTGCACTGTGAGATTAGAAATTGTCTTTCTATTTGTTTAGTTGTGTAAGAGTTAGAACTTCTAGGCTCCAAGGACTCCTAATACTTAGTAGTTAGTTATCATGCATAGATCCACAAATTTGGATTTTTTTTAAGGTAAGATAATATCTATTTAAAGTTAATTTTTACTTTTTCATGACCCCACAGAATAAAAAAAGAGGTAGTTATTACTAAATAATTTTACAATTTATTTCATAAATGCTAATAAAGGAATGCCTTGTTTAGTAGAGATCTAAATATTAATATGGTATTTTACAAATTTACTATGATACAGATTGATTTATACAAAACTACTAGATCCGACTCTCAATATTAACACAATTTAGTAATTACCAATAATAGTAACCTTTTTTGCATCTAAATTTGTAACAAAAGATAAAATTAATAAAAAAATCTCTAGACAATACAAAAATTGGTATACTATTGAAACGTTATCCCTGTAACTAAATGTAATTCAAGAAAAACACTTTGAAATATTAGAAATAAAAAGAATAATTTGGTTATTAATACTTTGCTATAAAGAATGTTTTTATCAATTAAAAAATCTGAAGTAATATAGGTTACAGAGATTCATTAATATATATATATTAACTTAATCTTCATAATTTTGTATCCAATCTTCACTTTGGACCTTGAGGTATGCTGTTTAAAACTGGGCCCGAGTTAGACGCAACTTTTGGAATATTGTTTGAATTCAACGCAGCATTCGGTTGAGGAATGTTACCCTGATTTGGAATACTATTTCCCATGGGTTGCTGTGGTATGTTAACCGGCTGAGAATTGCTATTGGGAACCTGCTGTTGCTGGAAATTGTTGACATTCGGTGGTTGTTGTTGTTGTTGTTGTTGCTGAGGAACACTGTTGACAACCGGTTGCTGTTGTGGTATATTGTTGGACATTTGTTGTTGGTTGTTTATGACCGGTTGTTGTTGATTGTTCATAACAGGTTGCTGTTGTTGCTGGTTGTTCAAGTTTGGTTGTTGCTGGTTGTTCACAACTGGTTGTTGTTGGTTGTTCATAACCGGTTGTTGTTGATTGTTCATAACCGGTTGTTGTTGATTGTTCATAACTGGTTGTTGTTGGCTGTTAACAACCGGCTGTTGATTATTAATATACTGCTGTTGTTGTTGGTAAGGTTGTTGTTGCTGTGGATTACCAATCGGTTGCTGCTGATACTGTTGTTGCTGGTAGTGCGGGGGATTCTGTTGTTGGTACTGTTGCTGTTGTTGGTAAGCAGTTTGCTGTTGTTGCTGGTAATGTTGTTGTTGTTGTTGATGGAGCTGCTGTTGTTGGTATGCCTGAGGCTGCTGCTGGTATGGCACCTGGTTAGGGTGGTATCCCTGGGGCGGGTAATAATTCTGTTAGGACAAAAGAGTTTTATTAATAAAAATAATAGCAAAATCACACTAGTTTTACAAAAAAAGTTTTATTTCTTTAAAGACCAAAGTAGCTATACAATTTTGTTAACTGACAATTTATTTTACTGTAACAAAACACTTGCAGATTTAAACTGTGGTATAATAAATGTGCAATTTTATTCTAGCTGTGAATATTAATATATGCAGGCTATTAATTATTTCTTTAAATTGTCTTTAGTTAAGTACAATAGAAACTATAAGAACATAACCAATTAACATAGGTGTTTTGAACAGTTAAATATAATATAATTATACAATTACCTCATCATAGCTCTGAAGTTTCTGTATATTACAGCTGTTTTGGCATCAAAATGCCATCCTTAGATATATATCTACCAGATTTGGCGTCATCAAACTTTACACACACACGAAACACGATAAAAACATTTAAAAAATATAAAACAGCAAAGGGCAGTCAGCATCCGTACTTGTATCGGTCATCATGTGCGCGACAGGCCTGTATCTTGTTTTAAATATGTTATAAATGTTTTTTATCGTGTTTTGTGGGTGTGTAAAGTTTGAGGACTTCTAAATCTAGTGGATATATATATCTGAGGATGGCATTTTGATGCAGAAACGGCCGCAATAAACGGAAACTTCAGAGCTGTGACGAGGTAATTGTATAATAATTATATTATAGTCATCAATTCAGCTCAGGGGCTAAATAATGTCTATTGACAATTAAATATTGAACTTTAAGAAAGACATCACAACATGTACCTATGTAGGAGTGTGATAAAACGTTTTATTAAATAAAAATAAAAAGTTTCCAATAAAACAATTAATCATCTAATAATAAAACAGTCAAACATACTACTTTTCATAGATACATATTGGCCCCAATATCAATTATCTGAATAAAACAGACTTCATCCTTAATCAACATGCAAACAAATAATCGGGAAAAAAACTTACTGGAGGTGGAGGTGCGTGATACATGGGAGGTGGTTGAAGCTGAAAATGGAAAAAAACATTTGAAAAAAAGCACTAGTAGATTTTAATATCCAAGTGTTCAAAATTTAAGCAAAAAAGGTTATGTACTAAGTTTAAAATCACATTAATTAACACAGTCTGGGCAAAACAAAAAGTCCACAGTTTACAGCCAGAGTCCTGCTGATCCAAACAAATTATTACCAAACCCTATGAGTATATCAAGTTTTTTATATTATCCGAAAATACAGTATAATATTATATTGCATTTAAAATGTTTATAAATATTTCTATACAACTGTAAATAAACAATTATTGCTCCTGCAGCCGCCAACACGACAACAATGTGTTTTACTAAACAAACACTGCTTTAGACTCAGTCATAGGTGATTGGTCAAAATTTCTCGATTCAATACAAAATTCACATAATCTTTTCCAGTAAAATGTATGTACAATTCCTGGCTTTTTGGTTGGCTAGAAACCTTGGCTAACAGGTGATTACTGGGACTCTAGTGTAGCTTTAAAATCACATCATTACAATCATTTTCTATGTAGTTTTATTGTAATAAGCACACTCACCTGAATTTCATGTGTTGTAGTGAGGCTAAACTAGATTTGTTGAATTTTTATTGTTTGAACTAAAATTTGACTATAGTTATTTTTGTTGAGTGTTTTCAGAAAAAAATGTATATTTCCTATAGTTATTGTTTTTTTAGTAAAAAAAAGCTAATGACACTTAAATGGACATTTTACATAATAGCTTTGGCTATTGATACAACTAGATGTTACATCCCCATTTTAAAGTTGTCGCCAGTTTTTTTTTTTCAAATCAATCAAATCAGATCAAAATTGTTGTTGTTTATTTGATCCACCGACAGATTGTGCCGATCTAAATTACAGATTTTTGTTGAATACATGAACGTTTTAACAAAGTAAAACTAATGGAATGACTTTTTGTGAGCTATAGTCTATAGAGCTCGTGCGTTTCCTGGTGAAGCCTGGGGGTAGGTGGTTAGAGTGGCTCAGAACCGGTTTTGTACGGGCTTCAACCCTACCCCCAGGCTTCACCAGGAAACGCACGAGCTCTAGCAACAACAACTGTAATGACCAATCAACTTGGTCAGCAACAAGAAATAAGGTAGAAAATAGCATTTTAGACACTAGCACATTCTGTGACTGGATCAACAACTATGTTCTTTTTTAATAAAAATTGGTTACAGCTGGTCTATGTAGATGGAATAATTAAAACAGCTGGTCCATTAAAAATGTGTTACATAAGGAATAATTTTTGCATGCAGAAGGGAATCCTGAAATATCTCGATTTTATTACATAACGTTTGATGCAACAAATTACTACTAGAAAAAAAGAATACCTGAATATTTTCAAACCATGTATCTAAAATGACGACCTTTTTGTAGGAAGGATTTTCTCTATATCTATTTGTTTTGAGTTAACAGACACTACTGAACCGACTGGGCTAAAGCTTTACACAAAGATAGATAAGGAACTCGGCCAAAACATGGCATTATTCATATAATTCAAATTCCTCAGGCTACGCGCCCAGGTATTTGGCAGATGTAAGTAAAGAGAATGTAACAATTATGAATTATATTTTTGTCAATATTTACTTCCCAAAGCACCAGCCTGGTCTTTTAAAAGCCTGAAGCAAAATGCTTTTAAAAAATCAACACAGCAATAAGTCTATGACAATTCTTGGTACAGTAGCTATCTTAAAGTGAAGTTTCAGCTTAATTGGTTCAGTATATTTTGTTTGCAAAAAGATAAGAAGATAATATAAATGTGCAGATAGTCACATCATTCTCATATGAAGAGTTTCATAATTTGCCACATGCCCCATGTAAAAACAAACAGTAGTATAGTTTCTGGCATATGTGACCCAACATGCCCAAAGACGTGCCCAATGCCTATTTATTCAAATGCAAATTAAGTTTTAATTTTTCATTACGACATAACTGCCACTATATAAGCTATCCCAAGCTTAGTAAATTTAAAAAGATAAAAATAGCCTAAAATTGGCATTACAATGTAATAATGTAGCAACCCAAAAGCAGAAGATCTGTGATTATATTTCATTACTATGTGATTAGGAAGAAGAGTTCAATAAACCTGTCCCTGGCCACCCAGAAAAGAGGTGTTTAAAGTCCAACTCTTGCAAGAAAGCCTTCTCAGTCTTTGTTATATTCTCTAGAAAATTTAGATTTTAATTAAGGAAAGAAAAACTTTCATTCCACACATTACAAATCGCAAAAATTTCAACTAACATGCAAAATAATTACATTTTGTTCTGTAAATTTATACAAATTATTTATTAGCTTTAAAACTTTTTTATTTCAAATTTAGTTGCATCAATTTGCAAATAGACCGTTAAAGGTAGGTAACACAAACTAAAGTGTTTTGACAAACTACAACCAAGAAGTACTCTACTCTAGACAAAACAATGAAGGGAAAAACAACAAAAATACAATAGAAAAAGTTTGTATTCAAGATGAAAATAAGTTACACTTTTTATAAATAAATGCAAAACTAAAACAAACAAAACCTACAACATTTACTCACACATTCAAAAGACATACAAATTACAAAATCAAAGAACAGACGACGTATAAAAGGCTAACCAGAAACTACATGCAACACCCAGCGAAGCAAGGTAAACTACGTCTACAGTGGTTCTACAGTAGGGTCCTCCTGAAAATCAATTGAAACAATGTTAATGTCATGCACATGCTATAACTTGCATCACAGTTATGTTAGAGAACTAAAGAAATAAATCTCTATCGATATGATAAACCTTGATGTCTTTTCTTTGTAGTAGTTATTAACTCAGAATTTTATTCTGGGCTTGATACCAAAAGCAAAAGACTATTAGTGTATCAGCTAAGTGCTATAAATGTGACAATTAAATTTTTGTTCAAGGAAGATAACAAAGGTTTTTAAATTTTAAATCTAAACTGAACGGGAAGTAACGTGCAGATTAATGATACCATTAAAAATTACTAGTTGACAAACTTGGGTTAGGAATTTTAACAAAAGCTATATTTAGCGTACACTAGAGGAATACACATGAGGATATTTTGAGTAATCAATTTTGCTTTTGTATCGCAAAATGTTTTTGTAAAAACAAAATTGTCCAACATTTTTGTTTTTCCCTACTTCTACCAATAGTCCAATAGCCTAATATGTCAAGATTTAGTGGAAAAGTTTCATAAATTCAAGAAAAACCACACAATAATTAATTACCGCGGGCGAAATGATTTGATTTTGTGTTTCTTCACTTTGAAGATGTGCTCATTGTAGCACGAAACAGCTGTCGTGTTTGACAACTACATAGGATCATTCAGGCAAGGTAACATAAACCATATTCTGACAATAATTAAGTTTAATATCTTTACCCACCCACATCAAATACATCTGCACTATTCCATAAAAGAGTGGAAAAATAACAACTATTTGGGGATTTACCAACAAAAGCAGTCTAGAATAGCAGAATATCACCCATTAAGTATCATCCCAATCATGCTTCCTGTTCTATTGAACATCTTAACCAAGAAGAACAGAAGAATTAACATCAAAAGCAGTCCTAAATAGAAGAGGACCCACAGATTTGACCTACTAGCTCTACTTTCCATTGATGTCCCCACGACTACCACATGCCCATGCTGTTTACCTTGCCCTCTCGTATGAGCCGCTCGATCTCCTGTTGTCTTCGCCGCTCAAATTCCGCATACTCGTCCGGAGTGTAGATCTGCTGCTCGTCTAGAGGTTCCCAACCCGGGTCTCGCTCAAACTCCGGCTTCTTAGTCTGGGCCAGGAATTCTTGGTAACTGGAAATCAAGTGTTGAAATAATGTTAGAAGTTAGAGGTCAAAAATGGTCAACGTGAATAAGGCGCCGAATCGCGCTGAGTTAATGAAATATTGTCTGGTGGAAGGAAAGAAGGGGTTGAATCTAGAGAGCTAGAATAGCTAGACCCCTTTCTTGAAAAGTCACTAGTCACAGATGTTATGTTTGTGAAATATTATCCAATGGATGGAAGAAAGGGGTTTTAGGATAGGTAAAGATTTAGATTTAGTCACAATTTCAGGGAACAAGGTTAAAACTTCCATCAGCAAAGTTCAACTGACAGTCAAGCTAACCTAACAAGCATTGAGTATTTACTTTTCCTTTAATACTTTCTTATGAAATGACGACCATACAAATGTAGGTATTTTAAGCCCAGTATGAACGGAGATGAGTGTAGGATTCACCAATCTATCAGGGAACTAATCAAATTGGGCAACCATGGTCAAAGTGTTATGGAGAACGAAGCAAAAGAAGCAGCCTACACTGAATGGCAATAAAAGGTTTGACTAATGATAACTGTTTTAATGCAGCTAAAATTCAAAATATCTTCAAGGCAAGACAAAACAAACCTTATGTTCCAATCTCTAGATTACAGAACTTGCCTTTGTAGGACATTTCACAACCAAAATTGGTAAATGCCTACATACACAATCTATTACCACCATGAATTCAGATGTTTAATGATATTTTCACAAAAGCAAAAATATTATTCATCTATTACATTACAACAAATAAGTTCTCCACACAGATATTTACATACCTTATGAGGTTGTCGTGGTTGAGATCCGCTTCCCGGAAGACGTGTTCACGCATGCGCTCCATCTCCTCAGCACGTTCACGCATGTCGTCCTCTGGTGCTCCTGCTTGGTACAGTTTGTCCAACTCTTTGAGGAACAATGCCTTCACTTCTGCTTCATCCCACACTTGGTTGCCATCTAAGTCTGAAACCAAATAATTCAAATATTACAGTAGAATCTTAGAAATCCTGCACAAATTTGACCAAAACTCTGTTTAATTATTAGGGTTATGGATTAGAGGAAATGCCAAGTAATCTCTACAAAACTTTTTGAAGAGTAAAAAAAAAAAATATAATAATCCATCAAAATTAAAAAATAAAATAGTCATAAAAGTGTTAAAAGAATCATGTAAAATCATTCAAAATCATTTATATGGACAACGTTATTTATCTAAGTTACATATTATTTATTTATATCATAAATTTAAGTTTTTTTTACTGTGTCTAATAGGCAAAGTTTATTAATAAACTCAGTTTTCAAAATAGAAATAAATAAATAGTCTTTAATTTAGTGTAAAAGAGACACTTTTTTAAGCTTTACTAGATTAACAATACATGATTGCCACATCTTGACAAAACACGTTCAGGTATTTTTTGCATTGGAGACAAGATTTTGTGGCATTGACAAGATATATTGTTACTGACATTCTATTGTAAAGTATAATTTATTTTCTTCTTTTGTATGCTCAAATTATAAAAATGGATAAAATGATTCAATCATTCAAACACTTTAATTACAAAAAGAAATGGTTACAACATTTACAAATGGATGTCTACCTTATCACGATGTACCTAATGATTAATTGTTTTGCATAAACTGAAATTTTATAGAATATGGCATAATTCATACCATGCATGAAGAAGAAAGCTTTGGGATCAAATTCTTGCTCCATGTGGTCTTGTTTTTCCCACACCTCTTCTAACTGTTGTTTACTGCCGGGATGGTGCAGCTGTACAAATAAAGGTTAATCAATTAGTGTGATTATCAAACAGCACATTAGTGAGCAGTAACAATTGTATGCCTGTATTTCATCACTAGAGCCTAAAGTGACTCTTATCTAAAAGACTATGATGAACTACTATATTTTTTGTCACATGGCACCATTATTTAAGCAAACTAAGTTACAAAACTAAAATAATTTTCATGTAAAGATAATCTCAAAACTACTTCCAACTTGATTTTAATGTTACTAATGAAAACAAGCAGCTGTTTAGTAAGTGATAAAATTATTTTTTAAATTCATTGTGTTAGTGTACAATCAATACTATCGACATATCGATAGTGCAAACAAGAAATCTAGCCTACATTTTATTAAGGTTAATAATTATGGTTAGCAAAATATTAACATACAACAACTTAACTCCCCAATGACTAAGGATAGATGAATGTATTTATTAGCACTGTAGTAACTTGTAATAATTTGAATTGAAAACAGTAAGTTAGTAAAAATTGTAAACAAATATCTCTTTTTGGAGCTAGCTTCCCACAATGGTTAAGCTCTAGTCATTTTAATCCAACATTGAAATAAGCGCATTTATCCTAAATTAACAATTATATAACAGCACAATTCATTATAATATTCAAAGCCATTACCACCAAAATTGTGTTATTGATTATTCCACCACCAAATGTAACTATACAGACCTACATTACATGTGACAAGTGTAGATATATTTTGTAGTTTTAATTTTTCAAATGTTTATTGAGTTTATGGCAAGTTTTGGAATGCAAGTCAAATTGTCATCCCACATTTCATACTTAATCATGATATTGCTATGTTAAATGGTCTATGTACTTTGTGTAAAAATGTAGCATTTAGAATGTTAAGTGAATCCTTTCTCTATTTTAATATAGGCACATTATTTAGCCCCTTCAATCTTAAAACACGCCACTTTCTATCGATAAATCCTTTTTGTAACTACGTAAATCGCCTTACAAATACCAACAAAATATTTCAATAAAACCATTAAAAATAAACTAAACCCTCCTTCACCAAAGATTAGTTGCCCAAAGCAAAGCAGAAGCTGTAGTTAGGACTCTTTTGAAATGATTTCATGAAAGAAATACAAAAGTTCTCATTATAAACTTTTCTACGAATGGTAAATCAAAACTGTGTAAAGAAAGGTAGGAGTGAAACCATCTAGTTGGTTTTTTTACCTATGTCAGGATCCACAGATATCCTCCATGTCAACTATGTTGTCAGATATTTCACTGCCAGACATTTCCCCCTTTAAAGCTGGGTTTTTGTAGGCGCGGAAGCGGAGAGCGGAGAGAGGAACGCGGAGAGCGGAATTGAAATTAACATGGCATTCCGCTCCGCTTCTAGGAAAACAGTAACATTAAATTGCCTAAGACAAGTGGTGTCCGCTCTCCGCGTTCCTCTCTCCGCTCGCCGATTCCGCGAAAACCCGGCTTTACTAGGAGTGGGAGTTTTAGTGGGTAGGCTGAGACTAATGTCGGACCAATTTTCACAGGAAGACCAAAATTCTGCCAGATAATTTAATCTGATAACGAGGTTGACGTTTAAAATAATCAATGTAGGAGTGTGATTTCTCGATTTGTACTTATTCTTTAAAACATTAGAAGGAAATACATTTACTTTTATATTGACACAAAAAATCTCTAAACTCAAAGTTCAATAGATAAGTAATTGCACCTAACCTCCAGAGGTTGAAGTACCTACCGGTAAACCTTTATATCTCTAAAATATTTCAAAGGACATCGTTTAGTCAAGACCCTTAGGGCACATACGCAAGAGTTTGTTAATCATATGTGGTCTAAAGTCTCTCTGCTGTCACTGTATACTCTTGGAGGGGATCAAATTACAAATGAGTGACTACGATGAAAATGGAGCGGTGCTTGTGCCTATAATATGCCAGTGATAATAAGTGGACACATTGTGGATGTTGAACGTTTAGTAAAGGTAAGGAATAACAAAAACTACTTGTTACCTAATGAATCTTGGTCTGAATTGGTGAAAATACTAGCTGGGGTTTTGGATGTATTGCAGTAATCCATCTTTGTGGCAATCAACAGTTTAGTTTAATTCAACTTGAATTGTGAATTGCCTTGAAGATGAATTTCTGCACCGCATTCGAAATGTCAGCTGGAATCTTATTCCTAACCAACAACATCAATCGAAGATTTCACAGACTACTTTGACAGCAGAGTCTATCTTCTACCTTACTCGTTACCTCTGAGAGTTGAATATAAAGAAGACACAACTAGCCGCAGAGCATAGACAGACCCTGCCCCAAGCAAGTAATAGTTACCGGTACCGGATCATGTTGTTTGTGTTTCAACTTCTGCTGCTCAAGTTCCTCGAGATACTTCTTCCTCTTGTCCTCATCGAGTTCTTTGAGTTTCTGGTTCTTTTCAAACTCCTTCTCCATCTCATACGTCTTGAACTCATCGCGTCTCTTTTTGTCGGCCTCCGCAAGATCTTCAGATGTCTGAAAATCACATTTATTTTATTTAACAAGACTCTAGTTTTATGACAAAAAACTCCTTTTACTCCTGTACTATTTATTTTTCATATTAATAGATTTAATTTAGAAAAAAAAACTTAATAACTTATAGTTTTGCTCCTACCTTTACAATTACTTTGAGTTTGACTCTTGCACCAGTATATATTGGTTTTGTTTTACTTCAAAGTTATAATAAGAATTGCAATATTTTTCTGATTATTCGTATTAGTTTATAGAAATACTGCAAGGTATTGAAATTTTAAACCACATAAATTCTTAGAATCTCAACCTTATCATTTATCCTAATCAGGGAAATGATAAATAACAAATGAATAATGAAGGTGTACATTGATTCCTTCTTTTTCACACACTAATCTTGTAACAAATATATTATTTTTTTAGTTTAAACAGCTTGTAGTATTTTATGGAAAAAACTTATCAACTTAAATGTTTATCAGATTACTGATAGTATTTTAGTTCTTTCAGTTTCTTATCTACAGTAAAATGTTTTATTTTTATTATTTTTTTACTGTGAACAAACACAGTTCTCGGTAAAGGGTCAATAAATTTAAAACCCATGAAATCTTATCTTAAATTTTTACTTTTCAAACAACAACTTTTATGTAAACTACTGATACCGTAAACTATTACAGTTACTAGTAACTACTTGACAACTTTTATGTAAACTGCTGATACCGTAAACTATTACAGTTACTAGTAACTACTTGTAACAATGAAATGAAAATTGGTCCCTGAGTAACAAAAATGAATCGTAAAACAATATAGGCTTAACAGCAACAGTAGATATTTTACTCAGATTTTTCGGAAACTTTTGTCGGCTAACATTTTTGGCGTGAAAATAGGTTTGCATAGTTAAATTAATAGTTAATAGATACTGACAACTTATTTATTTTTTTATAGGTGAGAATTTTAGGCAGGTAACTGAGGTCTCTCAGTTAAGCTACTAAATAACACACCCTTTATTTGGTATTTATTTGGTAAATATATTTTGGAGAATGTGGTATTGGACATTCAATCATTGTCTCTAACCTTTCAGATTTTTCTTAATACACAATAACCTCCCAAAATTCAATTGAAATGTATGACAATCTCAACAAAACCAAGAGTAGGCTAAGTATGTTCAAAAGTAATTTAATCCAGTTAATCATTTTTGCCAGTAAAGGATGAATTTAATCACCAATATATTATATTGATAAAAATATCATTAAAAAGTTTATCAGTTAGTACACTATTGAAAGGTGTAGCCAGGTAATAATCATGACGGCAAATGACGTTTGTTTACAACACTGTCATTCTTAAACAAATGTTTGCTGCAAAGTCAGAACCATGATTGACTTTTGTCAAACAAAAAGTTTGTTTGAAGATAATGTGTAGGACAACCATAGCTGCAAAAAGCTGAGATACACTGAGATCATTGCCAAAGTAAAATAACATTGAATCAATGAGTAAAATACTTATGTTGGCTGCTACAAGGAATTGAAATAAAACTGTTTTGGTACCTATCAAATAACCTACAAAAAAAGGAATTTAAGCCTACCCAATTTTACAAAGATAAACATCCAAAAAACTAGAAATTTACAAAAATAAATGTATTCTCTGCGGCATTAATTACATAATATGAAACAACATTCCTACTGTGTTTAAGACTTTTCATCTAAATCATCAATAGGCACAAACAAATCAATAGGCTTGTGTCAAATCCTACCTTTGCAATGAGTTTTTTCAAGTCGGCAATCTCAAACGTGTGAGGGTTGGTGTGGTCAACATGTCCAGGATCTATTTTCATGTGTTTGGTGTCAATGTCGTTCTCCAGCTCATACTCTTGCCGAGCCAACTTCCGCAGCCGATCCAACTCTATGCGCTTCAGCTCGTCTAGCTTTGTTCGGACATTGTGCGAGACAAAGTCCAGTTCATGAGCAATATCTCCAGACTGCAATAACAGGAAGATAAAATTAATAACCCTCCAATAACTTTGTATGTTGAAATAATTATAGTTGATTTCCTGGTCATTTGTTAAAATGGAGATGGATTTTGATTTTATTTTTATTTACTAGATGAAAGTGATAGATAACATTAAATGATAAAGTAGAAATATATTACCAAATCATTCAAAAACATATTTATATTATTTAGTATTAGCTGTTACCCACGGGCCGACCCCGTTTGACTTCATAAGTATTTAATAAAACTATTGATTGGTTAAGTTAAGCTGAAATAAACAAAACAGAATACAACAATACAAACAAATAATCACACCTTATTTTAATTATAAATTGAAAGAATAACATACAAATAAGTACAGCAGAGGTATTTTTAACATTAGGTATATGGAAAGTTCCCTTTAGAAAGCAATTACGGCCTTAACACGTTCGCGGCGGCACGTCAAATGGCGGGCGTATCCCAGGTCCGGCGCAGCCCTCAGCATCGAACAAACCCGATTACCGCGTGTGATTGGCTTTCCAATTTCGGGCTGACAAAGAGCAAATAACGTGCGAGGATGTCCTGCTTTACAACGAGAGTCGACGTAGTTCGCTAAACACCAACAGATAGCAGCACTGCTTGTAACGTAGCCGGTCCCATTGGAATTGTTTTGCCAAATGGAGGGAAAAAGACGGGACAAAAGTGGAATTTTGAGATTGCCAGACGGGGATTTACGGGAAGATTTACTACCAACCAACACCACAACAAAATACAGTATACTATTGAGCAGTGCTGTGCGAGGTTTCAAGTTTCTAGCTCTAATCCTGGCTTAAAAATAAATCATTTCGTACTGCATTGCAGCTTGGGAGCGATCGCACCCACCAGGATGGCATTAGGGCTCCGTATGGGAGCGATCGCTCCCATGCCGCCGCGAACGTGTTAAAGGGCAATTGATGAAATAATGGATAGTTTTGCGCAAGGTTTCTCGTCATTATGGTTTATGGGGGTTTGACTTGTAGTTTTCTCATAAGTCCATGGGTACTTTGGGCTGCATATATGGATTTTTACTATGAGACAGCAACGCACACCTATAATAGTTGCATATTTCAAGCTAAATATGATTGCAAGGTGAGGAAAGAGTGAAGAATGGAATGGGATAATGTGCAGCTTTGTTACTGACTAAGACCATCTGTTTCATAAGCCATAATGATGAAGAACAGCTGGACCATGTCTCAAATCACCAAAAAGCTGTTGAATTTTCTCAGGATCGAATAGACAGCATTTTGATTGTCAAACGTTTTTAAGCACTATAACCACTCAACTACTCTATGGTTACATGAAAATGTTCACTAAATCATAAACAAGAATAAAAAAGATATTGATCATATAAAAAATATGCATTCTAAATTTTAGCCTACTATTCACGTTGTTGTAGGGTATATTTCAAATCAAACCTGAATAAATTTAAACAATAGCTTTATAAACCTATTATGTACTGTTTAATGGTGCACAGCAATCAATGATGACAGTTTAAGATTAAGCTTTGTATTAGCTACAGTTTAGTTGATCGAAGGAAAATATATAATAAGGTCCATGCAACCCTGATAATTTATGGTCTTTATATAGCAGTAAAAATATATCTACAATAAGGGGTTTCTCTATAACACCCCTTTTATACTCCCCCCCCCTTTACAACTTTGATTTTTAAGATTGAGGTGTAATTTTAAAGCTAATGATTTAGCACAGGATGAACGGTAACTAAAAAGGTAATTCCTTTTGGGATTTCGCTCCCCTAGGGGTTTATGAAGGTTTTAAATATGAATTGTATATTAGCATGTTTGTACCTTCAACCTTCATTTAATTTTTGACTGCAGTAAGACTGTAAACAAGACATTAAATTGATTAAGAAAACGGATTTGAAATACTGATTGACAATTTCATCTGTTCGATGGAGATATATTTATATATATATTTTTTTTTACTCTTACTGTGGGGTTTCTAGTTACTTATGAAGGAATCTTAGAAAGGTTAAGGGGTATTGAATTATTCTTTTTTCTTCAGAGAAAAGATTTGAAGTAATTTAAAATGTGCATTTTGCAAACATGTCCCCTTGAGTAATTTATTCTTACAATTCTCTTAAATCTAAAAACCAACAAACTCGAAATGATGCAATGTAATTACTTAGGCCTATGTTAGATTCACAGAGGTTAAAGTTTGAAATGTGTCGATCATTTAAAAAAAATATAAAAAAAACAATACCTACTACTTATGATTAGAGTATCATTACACTGCCTACATGAAGTGAACGTACCTGAATGTCTTCAGATGTTGCATTCTCCAATTTCTTTCGGAAGTCTGGATCACTTTCTAGAGCCTCTACTACTTGAACCAAATATCTGTTGTATTCTATCCCCATGTCTTCCTGTAAAATTGTAAAAAAAAAAATTGTAGCCTACTAAAAATATATTGGAATTTTGAAATTATTTGCACAAAAATTTAAACACATTATGCTTTTCTGTGACAATAAAAGTATTGAAACCCCTCTTTTTATGGACTAATTGGGGATCTAAGGCCTACTGTACCATACACATGAGTCCCACTAAGTCAGAACATGGGTACCTAATCTGCTTAGTCTGAAAAATTTCAAAAATTTTTTGAAAATAATTGGCACCAAGGTAGGCTATTCTTATTTAATTTAACAAAATTAAATACAGAGAAATTATTTTTAAGTTGTACTCCTAAACTGATGACGACTCACGAGTGTATCCTGTCACTGTGTATCGCAGCGATAGCCATAAACCCACTGCCCCTCAAGTAGTGAAATCTAACCTATGAGTGCTTGTGTACTCGTGTGCTTAGGCCTAACTTATACAGGCAATCGACCCGTTCGGCCGATGGTGGCAGTGTAGCTCAGTTAATTGAATGAGCGATTGTGTTACGAGTGTAACACTGAGGTATTTCTAAATGTGCGAGAATCCCGTACATGTGACATCCATACTGAGCTTGCTAATGACAGGCTTACCTAAATCGGAGGGCCTACCTTAATTAACACTATCTGGCATGGTTGGAAGGTCTCAGCATTAGTAAATTTAATAAGGATTGCACACATCATATGTTTTGCTTGTTTTTCTATTCGTATGGATATAAAGAGGACACAGATTTTCCTTTTATTAGCGAATTTCCCATATAGGGAATAAGCTATTACTGTAGTACTCATAGTAAGACCTGGACCCGGGACTGATTTACTTTTTAATTTTGAGGTCCCTAGAGACCAAAAACCCCATCTGTTCAAATTCACATATATATATAATTATATATGTGTCCGTTAGCGCGATAACTCGAGCAAAAATCATCCGATTTTGATGAAATTTAGTACTTAAACGTGTAAACCTACGTTTATTCGAACGAGTCCGCAAACCAGCATGATCGGACTATGGGAACAGGGGTTTATGGGGGGTTTAACTTATGGGGCAAAAATTGGTTTTTCCCATTTTGACTCTAAAAACGTAAAATTTAGCATTTTCTTTCCAAACCATTTTGTAGAGCTAAGTTAAAAAAAACAAATTATATAGTAACTTATATTGAAGCGTTATTATGTGCTAATGGTAATGGTTACGGAGAAAATTCCAAAAAGCTGTAAATTAAAAATTCCCATATATTTTTTTTACAATTAGCCTACTAACACAGTTACAGTTATTACAGTTTTAATTGTTGGATGTTATTCTTATGGGGAATGTAAACTGTTGTAGTTTCCTTGTTCATGATCATATTTTGATCAAATCTGGAAAAATGCATTCATTTCATACCTAGGACCTACTAAACTAAGTTAACATAAGTTTATCCTAACAACTTTCTGTCCCCAATTTAGTTTGGATTATCGAGTGTACTTACAAATCTAGCGTTTTTATCCTTCTCCTCTTCTTTTTTATCTTCTTTCTTTTCAATGACAGGAGGTGCCACGATGCTCTCCAGCATCATGGCTAACAACACCACAGTGGCTAACCACTTCATAGTGCTCTGTGAACACAATAAAACAATCAGGGTATATAACAAAAAAGATTTCTATAGGCTAATAGGGTTTTTAACCTATTTATTTCATTATAACTACTGTACATCAGGAACTACAAGGAGAAGGAGCATATAAGTTACCTTTGCAAAACATGTGCAAAAGGTATCATTCAAATGAGTTTTCAGTCTGTGGCGTAGCCTATTATTTCTGTAGAGCTTTAATTTCTAACCCAAATCATTTAAAATGTTGAAATAAAAAGTTTAAAATCATTGTAAAAGTTGTGTTACTATTTGCAGACAAAAATTACCAAAAATTTCAGTTGTAAACCAAAAGTTTGAAGGCTAGACAAAGTCTATACTAGCTATCTAAGAGCAAGACTTGTCAAAGAGATAAACGCCTATCAACCCTTAAAAACTGTTAAAACTTCATTAGAAAGACATAAAAAATCTAGAATTTTGCAGCTTGTTTGATTGAAAATTGTAATAAATTTGTACCAATCACTAATATAAATAAAATAGGCTAACCTTACTCCAAATATTTACAAAGCATAAAAGTAGTTTACCTTGAATTATGATAACTATGAGATAAATTTCTACGAAAAAGGTTGGTTCTAAAACTACAATTCACAGTTATTTCAATCCATAGTTCTATATACTATTATAATAATAATTCAATTAAACTTTCACCAATCTGTTAGAATCACAGTAACAACAAGAAAGAAGATCGTCTTGAAGATGAACATAACATAATGCTGTTGTTCTGCTTCAAGTCAGCTGACATAGTGATGACATTTCCCTGTACTTATGTGGCACATTGCTACCAACACAAACTCTAAGTAAAACTAATTATTTCATCTTTAAAACTACATCATAATATAACTGTTTAAATCAATGATGAACTAATGTTTTTATTTGAATGTATACGATGTACTTTTAATAGATGAATCACAGGTCGTTGTGCGTGTAGTTAGTTTTAGGAAATTTCCCATTTAGGGAATAAGCTATTAACTACAGCTCGGCCAAAACTTCTGTGCGCGTGGACGGGTCGCTACTAGCCGAACTAAAACATACGGGCACCGGCTATTGGCAGTGCTGGGGGCAGTGGTGAGTGAGTAGCAAGACACAAATGTTTTCACAAAAGTACCCCCGCCAACCCCCTCGCCTAGACTCAACCAGATCTGGTCGCGCGCACAGAAACTTTGGCCGACCTGTACTCATGGTACGACCCATAGTGGAAGGAAAATACATAGGTGTGCTATTCCCGTCATATGCTGACATCACTCAGATTGCAAACACAATTTTACCATTTAGAAAAATTATAAAAACAATAACAATCAAATCAAAACAAATATATACTTATATGGCAATACATCAGCTGATCTTTTGTTTGCAATTTGGATGACGTCAGCAAATGACGGGAATAGCACACCTAAACATGTATTTTCCTTCCACCATGGGTACGACCTGGACCACCTGGACCCCGGACCGATTTTTTACTCTTTCGTTTTGAGGTCCACAGGGGTCAAACACATCATCCGTTCAAATTCATATAGGTCGTTCTATAACATTTCATTAATTTCTCTCTGCTTGAAAACGTTTGTATATAACAAAAATTTGCTTTGTTTCATTTTTCATCATTCTCTCAAGAAATTCTCAAGATCACCCTGTATATTGTTCTTGACTCAAGAACAATATACAGGGTGGCCGAAAAGTGCATTTTTTACACTAAAGGTAAATTCAATTGATATCGATTAAAACCATAGAAATATATTTTAATCAGAAATTTTCTGTAAACTACACCAAGTGAACATCATTTTTAGTCTAAAACCTCTGCCTGCTTACCTCCACTGCCTCGGCTTTAAACTTGACTCACAACTCCAAGTTCGTTAGCTCATTCGTTTCAGCATTTCTGGGGTGACTCGTGCAAGGCCGCCCTTACTGTCTACTGACTGTGTGTATCGCCGCCTCCTAGGGCTGTGGCGGTGGTTCAGCTGCATCAAAAAGGAGGGTCCGGGAGGCATAAATTTAAGTGAAAATCACACATTTCTACGTATCTTTAAATTATTTTTTTGGTATATTTGCTTGTAAATAGTCCATTTAATCTCACTTAATTACGTATTCTAGAACGTTGTAACAGGCCAAGGCTCCCTTTACAACCTCTTGGGCCAAAATCATAGCTCAATACTCTAAAATAGTTACATATAATGCTAATTTTAGATTCGGATACATTTCAAATGTGAATCATTAAAAAAAAGTATGCCGGCACCACCCATAGTCACTGGGCAAATATATTAGATATAGACTTATATATATATATATATATATATATATATATATATATACGTCCGTGAACGCGATAACTTGAGTAATTTTTGTCCGATTTTGATGAAATTTGGTTTAAAGGTGTAAAGCGTGATAAACTTCAATGAGTTCGCGAACCAGCACGATCGGACCATGGGAACGGGGCTTTAGGGGGGGTTTTATGGGGTTAAAATTGGTTTTTCTCACTTTTGACCACCAAAACACAAAATTTCCCGATTTTTCTTTAGACCTTTTTAAAGAGATTAAAAAAACAAATAATTTAGTATATAAAAGTATTTTTGTTCGATTATTAGTAACGGAGAAAATTAAAAAAAATTGTAAATTTAAAATTCCCATGTTATTCTTATGGAGAATATTGTCAAATGTTGTAATTTGCTTGTTTATGGATATATTTTTATCTAACTTGGCAAATTTATTTATTTTGTACTAAGCTATCAATATTTTACTCAAAAACACACTTTATTAGTTTCCTTGTAGCAGCAAACCTAGGTACTCGTTAAACCTAATGTTATTAAAATATATTTAACTGAAAATCAATTCAGACAAATGGAAATTCGCTTAGTCGGCAGGTTTGCTGCGGCGGGGGTATTTATTATAAGATCATAAATCAAAAAAATTGTAGTAAAGTATAAATCCATCATTAATCTAATTTTGATGAAGTTACTAATCCATATCTTCAGGTGTTTCCATTTTCAGTAAATTTTGATTTTTAGTGGCTATTTTCTCATTCAACCCCTATAAAATAACGGAAAATTTGATTTTTACAAAAGCGGCTTGAACAATTTTGATTAAAGTTTAATATGTCACAGTCCTAATTTAGCTCTAAATAAAATGGCACAACACAAGTGATGGTGTAAAAATTACGGTTTCAAAGTTATTGAATTTTTTGTGATTTTTCCCATAAAATATCATAGTTACTCACATCGCTTGCCCATGATGGTCGACAAACTAATGGGAGGAACTATATCTGTCGGATTGCTGATATGAATTGTTTTAGTGTGATCAATATTAATTTGATAAATTTACAACAGCGCATGGTCCCTCTGGGAATTTCCCTCAACCAGGGGGCAACCAATAGTATCTTGTTTCAGAGATCCTCTTCTAACAGCATTGTTCATGTAAAATTATTTAAAATCATTGTTAGTAGGAAAATGTTTTACAAAACTTGCAGAGCATAGCTGGAGCTATAGTAGACTGCATGAAAATTATCTGATGAAAGCTGTTGCAATGTTGCGTCAAAGTTTCTACTGAAAATTTTTTACTAGAGAAACAGGCTTTTGGACCCCAAGCGCAGGAGCGCAAGAGGCTTTAGGTTGGAAAAGGTCGCAAGGAAGAGAAAAACTCCCCTGGAAGGAAGGAAGGGGTAGGGGGCACAATTAACTGCCCGACCCAGTTATCAATAATTATTGTTCTGTGTCTGTTTTTGGTTAACAATGTTTTTGGTTTATGAATATCATAAACCAGGATTTGAACCTCAGGACTTACAAAAAATAAAATGCCACTGGGACATCAAAATAATAAAAGAACAAAAAAAGTAGAGTAGTCACAATATTTGCTATACACAATGAAATGAGCAGAGATGACTATTCCTTTCTACATGTATGCAAAATAGATTGCATTAAAAAAAGAAACAATATTTTAAAGCATAAAATCAATTTTCACAGTTTTATCAAACTATATTAGTGTTAATACTAAAATAAGCAAATGGAAAGCAAACACATTGTTCATGGCCAGCGCAGTAATCAAATTGCTGATGTATTCAGAAATAGAAAGACAAGTGCCCTACATTGGACTGAATGTTGATGTAAACTTTTTGGCATTGAAATCTTGATTTACACAACACCACGTTCCAACACACGTGTACACAGTGTCAAGTACAATAGCTGTAAAAACACGCACATATTTCGCACACAGAGGACACTTGCTTATGTGCGCTGTCAGCTATAGTATGTTGTGTAAAATATATTTGTGACAAGCAAGGAAGAGTCTAAAATAAAAATTCTTCCATTCAGTTCATTTTAACTCTGTACAAGCTCACCCCTTGCTTTTTACAGGCAATAACGTCTGTGGACGTAGTCCACAACAATGCTTCTTTGGTTTTCTTGTCTATTGTCATAGTCTCCTCTAAAACAAGGCCGCAGTTAGATTTATTTCATCCTATACTATTGACGTATGGTCAAAAAACACTTTTTACCTTCCCCGTAGCAGCAAACCTAAGCACTCGTTAAATCTAATGTTTTTTAAATAGGGAATAAATATGTATTATTTATGGAAATATCTTAGTAAATATGTAATCAGACAAGTTGAAATTCGCTTAGTCTACAGGTTTGCTGTGGCGGGGGTATTTTCATTTAAGCAAGGTTTTTTGGAAATAATTGCTACCTTGGGTCTAGAAATGTTATTGTCCGTTCCCAATATTTAGGCGGTTTAAGAGGAAGTTCCCCCACCACTTTTTTCTGCTCGCAGTTGATTGCTGTTTAGACAAATCTCAGCTGTTGAGGTATGTTTTAATGGTAGTATCAAGACGTGGGGGTAGATTTCTTCCCCTAACTTTTTTTATCGAGTAGGTATAGTTAATAATAATCTTTGCTTTCCTCAAGCCTGTTTGCCGTTTTCCAACGAGAGAGTATTTTTAATCTGTTGTCGCCTCTCATAGCTAGTTTCTTATTTAAATGTACTCATCACTATTCTTCAGATTAGCCATCTTGTTTGTCAGTTAATTACATACGGACAAAATTTACATTTTAAAATGTATATAAACTATCGTAAAAATTAGGTGTGTCTGTTTTTCCATCATTGAAGACTCACTTGACAAATGAAGATGAATGTTACACTATGTGCTACAGTATTGATTAGGCCGCTAATATTTGGTATTAATTTTGTCTTCTTCAATTAGGGCTTTGCATTAGGCCTCATGCCAAGATGAGATATATTGGCTGGCCCCCATGAAAGAGAAACTACAATATTCTAAAATCTGAAATCTATTGAATTTATTCTTAGACACGATTGACCAATTCAAGCACCAACTATAGTATGAACATTAGTGATATTGATATCCTCCATGAATGGTGCTGTGCATTTATTCTACAGTTCCATTGCTTTAAAGAACACAGCCTTCTATTTTGCATTTGTCTCATTGTGAAGCACAGAATACACTAAATATTACTGAATAAAAACTAGGTTTCAAGGAGAGGAAATGATAGTCATTTTTAACGATACTGTTTATTTCGAAGCTTAGCCGACTTATCACAACATTGTGCGGCAAGTAGGACCCAGTTGGCCTTATAACACAGAAGGTAACCTGATAGAAGACTAGGAGAAACAAATAGAATACAAAAGTAGAAATTGTTTAAAGTGCTCGACGCACATCACATTAATTGTTTCTTTTCCGAGTAGCGTATACATAATACAAAACTGTATTGTTGATATTAGAAGTCAATTAAGTTACAAATTCTCTCAAATATAGTGGAACTAATCCTAAATACACTATATGGCAACATTCTTAGACATAGAACGAGTCCAGAAAAGAGGTCTGTTGACTTTTTATCAGTATAAATAATTTTCAAAATTTACAGAGCTGTAATACATACGATTGAAAGACACAGCGAGACGTTTCTAATATATTGATGGATAAAAAGACAACAAACCTCTTTGTTGACCACGCTAACTTCTAAAACTAAAAGAGATGCTACTTATTAAATAAGCCCTGATCATCCTATAGAAACACATAACTTCATACAAAATACTAAATAGCCTATATACCAACATAAATAAACACCTAGCGTAAATACCGATTGGTTTTGTTGTTTAAGCTATTCAATGAGGCCCGGGAAAACATTAAACAACAAAACCAGCGGTTAAATTATCCAGAAGGCCCTTTACAAAGTCAATAATTAGCAATAAAACTAAACACACTATACATCACACAAAATATCATTTTAATGAATATTTATAAATTACAGAAACCAAACAATATTTAACAGTTAAATATAACAATAAGTATGTTTAGCTTGGAACGTAATATTATAACAAAAATAGCACCACATTACATGACTGTGGAAACTTGGATTTTAGTTGCCAAGGAATTAAATTAATTCTATCCAGAAGGCCCATTTTCTTCCTTGGCATTTAGACTTTTTGGTTTTTATAATTTTTTTATTAACTAAAACTAGTTTTTAGTGTTCAATAGTATTAATAAAACAGTCTAAACATTTTTATACCTAATTAATTAGGCTTAGTTTTGATTATTTTCCTACACTACAAAGAAACTTAAAACTAAGAAAAAATAGCTTCCAGCAGATCCGAGTATTATTGTTCCAAAACTTGGAACAATAAAAAATTAGTCTTATAAATAATCAATTCTATCTATAATCTAAAATATTCCACTATATTTGAGATTACAAGATGCAAATTTGTGCATTCTTTGTTTTGAAATCTTAGTTGTCCAAAACAAGATTGAAGAAAAAAGAAAATAAAATAAAGATAAAAGGCAGAAAAAATAATTTAACATAAAGTCAGCAGTTAAATAAAATAAATAAATAATATAAATTAAATTATTCACTATTTCAACCTTCAAATCACTACATTTTGTAGAAAATAAAATCCCGAGTCTGATTACCAAAATATTTTCTATAAAAACTTAAATAATATCAAATTCAGAAAAAAATAAATATATTTACAATAAAAATTCTCATTAGTACAAATTTTGTAAATGTAGTGATTTGAAAATGGATTCGTTAACTGAATGGAATTGTTCATCGCTTCAACTTAAACATGGCTATAAAAATGACTCATAACCTATAATTATATTGTGCCGAGACGTCAACATCACAATAAATAACATACAGCCATCATATCAAATCTATATACATCGCAGTACAAATAAAATAAAAACCAGTACAGTTGTGTTGCAGCATTCATAATGTAACAATTCAGCAAAATTCATGTGATCATGTATGCTACTTGTTCATGTTCTTCCTTAATTCTCAATAATTTTTATAAAACTTCTTACAGTAGCTGTAATTTACAGATCTTTTACTGTATTACTTTACTATGCAGCAACCCAACTGACAGAGTGTATACTAGTCTTTGGAAAGCTAAGATACGTATACAAAGATGCGAGCGAGAATTGTCAGGATCATGAGGCCTGTGCGGAGGCAGGAGCATTAGGAGGAGCAACCTTAGCAGAGGCTACGAGAGGAGTTGCCTCGGAGTTGGTGGCTAGATGGTCCAGCGTCTTCTCAACAGCCTTCAATCTCTTACCCAGACTGGTGATGCTCAGGATTGCAATCTGCAAGTCGACATTGCTTTAGAATATTGTTTTAAATCAAATTTTGAAAATCTTATAAAGGAGTCAGCCATAATCCCTTCATTTATGTAAAACATGTTATGATTTACAATGAGTCGTAGTTAAGCTTGCTTAAAAAGGTTGGGTATTCTACAAAAATCGGTAACCAACACTAGCAAACTCTTTTGGTGGTCCAATTCAATTTACAGGTTAAGAATGGGATGAACATTGATATTGTTAGTCAGACTATTAGCCTTGGAAAATATATATCTCTAAGTATATTGAAAACTTTCCTGAGTTTTGGCAAACTTTTGTTATATCTCAACTGAAATTGAATCTTTGCAAAGATGGTAAAAAATATGGTTTTTTGTTTCGTATAGGGCTACTTAATTTTTTATTGCTTATAAATTTCATGTTGGCCTACTAGTTACAGGATCATCTTATACTATGCCAGTTTGTGTTTATATTCACCTAATGTATACAAAATTAATTTATGCTAGAGCGGATCACTTTTCTAGTTTATCTTACACGTAAGCAGCTCAGGACCCACCTGCAGACTTTTGCTGAGTGGAAGGATTGCCAGTAACCACCACAGCCAGGCAGGGCCGTCGTCCAGTGTTGACCAATCACATTCCACCTCCGGCATCTCTCCGAACGTTCGGTAGATCTCTTCCTGTAGAGCTCGTGGCATCTTGCTGAACCACCGCCGACCCTTGGCCAGCACTCGTGAGTGAAGAACCTCCATATCTACAACCAATAGAGGATTAATTAAACATGACCATGGCTTAATAAGTGATACAAAATCTTGAAAAAAGGAGTCTGTTATTTAAATTTTTAAATTTTAAGCAGTTAAATTTGGCAAGTTTGAGAGAATTTCTGTGGAAATTTTTGGGTTAGTATTTTAGGATTTTTTTAATATATTAACGATTGAAAAAAAAAACAAAATGGATGACTAGGGCTACAATTAGTCAAAATCAATGAAATGCTAATGAACATTCTCTCATTTTTGTGTGTATAATGAAGCCATTGCTTAGCTGGATACATTTCATGGAGGTCAGAGGCCAATGTGGACAAGCAACACAAAGTTGAAAGTCCAACCGCTTAAAAGTGCCGATTACAATGTATTTAAATTGTACTTTAATCATTAAAAGGCACCTTTGATATGTTGTTGGCTAATCGGAGTGTCAGCTAGGAACCTTATCTGGGCTGTGTCGTAGCCGTCCTTCTCTCCTCGGGAGACGACTTGGAATCTCCGCGTGCCAACAGTTGTGAGAATAGAACAACCATCAGGCAGCAACACCCAGTCCTCGATCGTCAACATCGTACCATAGTCTGCAAAACTGAAAATAAACATACACATGAATAACTTGCACTGATGAAGTAAAAAACCTTGAAAAATTATTCTATGTCTATGGTTAAGGGTTTGATCTATTTCGTGAAGCAAAATAATATAAGGACCATTAGTTTGTAGTCCGTTCACAAAATTTGGACAAAGAAAGTTCTTCCACTACTTCTTTTGCTTATAGTATATGATGAGCTACTTATTGCTGATGAACTATTGTTTTAAAGGTATGATTCAAGTGGAGGAGGTAGATTTCTTCCCCTAAAACCGCCTACATTTGTTGAATGGAGTATAGGTAGTGTAGTATTGTACATAATTCATTCTGAGATTAATTTCAACCCCTGATCCTGAGATTTAGTGATGTACGATTATGAATATCAAATTACAACTGGAACATTTCACAATTCCCAAGCCAAATAATCATTGATATAAAAAAATTCTTCCCAAAAATTATTATAGAGTTAAATTTTACAATAAAAAAACTCACGTTTTTTTGTTTTTCCCCAGTTGTACGCAGGCGGAGATTGCAAACTGTCTTGTGCCGGACTCGACACACCGTCGTATCATCCCTCTATAGCGGGGCTCGTAAATGAACAGCGGACATGGCACTGTAGGGAAGGCGGTCGTACACACAAACACAGGCACCTCGGGTGATCTGAACACACAAGTAAATGATGTTAAAAAATATTTATAAACATGAGAATTAGATTGACAAACAAAGTAGTCTACATAATTGTCCTTCACAAAAGTTGAAAGTGGTAATGCTTTGAAAATGATTCATTCTAAAAAAAATTATTTGTGACTATTTGGTAGTTCACTGTCAAAAAAATTTGAAATTCTCTTACAGTACAGTTTAGTTCATCATGTTTTACTAAGAAGTATTCATGAATAATACCATCGTTCAGTAATACAAATAAAATAGTTGGTTACTAAATTTGAACACATAATTATGTATTTCAAATGTATCAATTCATTTTTTAAGAATTTTAGATTGTTAGGATATTTTTTGTTCTGGTAGAAGTCTTAGTCTTAATTTAAAAAAGGGTGTTCACTATGGGTGATTTAATATGACATCAAACAGTACTCACAAAAACAATACAAATAATATTAATGATCTGTTTAATGTTCCTTCAAAAAGCAACTCCAAAAGTTGAACCCAACACTACTTTAGTACTGTAGTTTGCAAACTAATTTTCAAAGTACCGTAGTTTAATTAACACTACTATTTGTAAACTAGGGCTAGGTACATATGCTTGTTATGTTATTGAATCAAGTTACAATGATATAGCAATTACCGTTCTTGCTCGTCCAACTCTTGCCGATGTGAAAGCAACCGTGAAGCATAGACCTCAGGTAGACCTGCCATCAGTGCTTCTTCCAGCCATCTCGTTACATTCTTGGAGTTCACACCAACAAACTGCAAAACACAAACAGTTGTAACAACAGGCATTTATGCACTAATTAGAAAAAAAATTTTAAAAACTGGTAGTATACTCTTGAAAAATTCAACGGCTTATGTGAAAAACAATGATCAAACTAACATAAGTTTTGATTTCTATACTACTACGGATTTTGGTATATCATGATGATGTGGAAACAGTGAAAACACATTTCCTACATATTGAACTTCTGAATTAGACATTCACAAAAAGACACTAGGATCGAAAATTCAGGTATAAACAGATTTTTTTGGACAAAATTTTTAAGCAAGAATCTTCATTACTGGTACATTATTTATCAATGGAAAAACTTATTGTTTCTAAGTTCTGTTCGGATTAGGCGACATTTCTTAATACCAAGACTCTACAAGTGTGCATCTTTTGGAAAAAATTTAAAACAAAACTTTAACCTTAGCAATTTGATAGTGTCCCTGGACATATGTATTTTACCTGGCATTCAGAAGCACTACCAAATTGCCATAGCTATTTTTTTTTTTTGGTTGTTGTTTAAAAACTAATTAACCACAAATATCAACTCACATTGCTAAGGGAGGTCATACAGAGAGGGCAGGCAGTACTGTAGTCCATACAGCGTTCCAGACACATGGCACAGTAGGAGTGACCACACGGCGTGGTGACAGGACGCCACAGAGCTCGGCAACACAGGATACAGTCAAAGTCTGAAGGATCTACAGCGTTCTTGTCAATCTGCAACACTACTGGTCTTCGTTCCTGCTCTGAAACACATCAGCTGATTAGAATGAGTTAAATTAACACCTTGATGATTTGTTAAAGGTAGTCTAATATGTCCTGGCATTGGCAACATGTCAGGTAGTAAAGAATACCCAAAATTGGTTGATGGGAATATGGTCAATAGTAAACGCAAGATGCTATGATTTGCTTGAAAAACCACCTGCTGATACCAAGTTAATTTCAGTCTGAGGCGGTCGACACACGGGAAGACTGAAACCCAACTAAAGTTGAACCAACTGTTTTGTGACGCGATTACGGTTGCAGTTGCGTTGGTTACATCCGCACACGGGCGCGACTATAATTGAGTTGAGACAGTGAATGAGTTCTAATTTTGTTATAACGATACTGTGTAGGCCTACTGTGTATGGTGTTTGAAATGAGTAATAGAGATGAAAAAGACCTAGTGTTTTATAAACAATCAAGAAAGCGTAGAGTAGAAGGTGTTGGGTACATCCTTATGTTAAAACAAATATTTAATGTAGGCTCTTTGTAGCTGTTGCTGCATTACAAGAAACAGACGCAAAATTTCAGTCTATGTACAGGATGTCAAAAAGTGCTTACGAAGAGTTATCGCAGTTGGTATACCTGATCCTTGAAAAGCGCAATACAAATATGCGAAAAGTTGTTCAAACCAGGCGACTGAAATCACCTAGCAACCGGCAGGTCCGGTTGCTTAACGACTGATCGCCGACTGGTCCTCAACTGGTCGCATCGCAGTCGCACCGTGTGCACTGTCCCACCTAACTACATTGGTCGGGACGTAGGCGACTAGTTTGTCCAACTGGTTGCCGATTTCAGTTGGAAAACAGTCTTCCCGTGTGTCGACGGCCTGAGAGTTTAATTAAGAAGTTGAATGAACTAAAGAGAATCAATAGCAAAGTGTATAGGTAGCTTTAACATTAAAACTTAACTTAAATGTCACATTTGAATTCATTACCACGCATTTCTTATGAAAAGGACTCTAGTATGAAGCAACTGCATTTACTGATTAGATAAGTCTATCTCCTAGGCTTGGTTATTTTAACAGATAAGTAACAGATTACATAAAATTTAGATAACCTGGTAAAAGGGCTTACATAACAGCTGGATGCTGATAACAAAGAGACAAAACTGTACATTACAGCTAGGTTACATAACTATATTAATACTCACTTTTTAACCTATTAACTTCTTGGAATATCCTATCAAAGATTTTATGTAATCTCCTATTTGCTTGTACTTTTGGAATGGTCTTCTTTTGCATCTGAAACAAATATTTACAATAAACTTACTGAAAAACTGTGATTTAAAGTATGGGTATGACAAACAGTTAATCATATTTTAACCACGTTAAACATGTGATTTAATAGCTGTAGACATTAAATGATAGCAAGAAATATTACTATTGAATACTATTGTATACTATTGTAGTAAAACAAAGTTACACATTGCGGAACCCGCAGATGACCTTTTAGGTCCAAAAAACAAAATGAAACTTCTTTTTTGCCAATCGGTGATGGCAAATGACTACATTAATCGTTTTAACGACATATCTACCAACCAATACTGAAAAACTGATATTTTCAAACAATCCATCTAGTTTATACTATAACTAACCTAAAGCTCCAGACTATATAAAAAAAAATATCAGTTCACTGGCAGTTTTTACAAATGTTGTTTGCAAATATAAGCTGTCTACAGTTTTCCCCTCCTATAAACACAACTATTTGTGCTATATGAGGCGCCGTAGGAATTTTTTTGTTTATTACGGTATCATCAGACAATAGTAAAACAGTGACTTGACAGACAATCATAAATTTATTATAATACAGTTGCTCAAATTTTGACTAAAAGGACGAATATGAGATCTAAAAAACTATTTTGAAGCAAAACAATTGACTTTTAATTTTGACTCCGTTGTAATCATTTTCTACTTGCAGTTCTCAAACCTACCTGGTATTCGTCCTCCCCACTAGAGTTGTCTTCACAGTCGCTGGTGTTTACGGGGGGTAGGAAATGCGAGGGGGAGAGGTACGGGGAGTTCCACCGACTCTTGACGCATAACCGTCTTCCGCTCATACTTGTAGGGACTAACAACCTTTTCAGCGACTGCAACAACAATGACAAACATTTTACTAGATCAAAATACTTAGCCTAATAAACCAGTCAACAATCTATATTTTGAAACTCAGAAATGCGCTTGTAATGATGTAAGCAAAATCAAAGGACATGTTGACAACAACTTAAATAAATATTGGCCCTGATAAGGAGGATATATAATAACCAACAAATATAGAGCTAAATTAAGCATTATTCTTTTCATCCCTAAAGAATTTTAAATATTTAAATTTTTTAAATAAAGAAGAAAAGCTAATTTTCTTGTAACACTGAATTATTTATCCAATACTGAATTAAACTATACTTCCATCCTCAACTCCCTGGCTGTTAGAATTCTAGTACTGTACTATACCCAATGGTAACAAATTGTAAATGGGAAAAAAGGTTCTGAAAAATATATTTTTATTTGTTAATAAATATATCAAAATAGCCATGATACAATTACAGAATAACAATTACAGTACTAATATTCTGCCACAAAATAAACGCTCAAGCTACACAAAAAACATTCTAACAAGTGAATTTCCATACATATCACCTCTTTACATAACAATCGTAGCAGATAGCAATAACGAGTCAAAGATAGGTCAGGTTAGGTTAGGTTACACAAGTGTCATGCTGTAAGCATTATGTGAACCGATGCATTTATGTAAGATGAGCACTAGTGTGTGTGTGTTATATAACCGTGGACTGTCCCAGAGTTGCTCTATGTTCCATTTAGCACTGCTGCCTAGTGTCTGCCTCGGCCTCTGTCTTATGTAACTGTTACTAAATATACTGACTATTCCTCAACTCTGGCCATTTCGTGAATTTCACCCAGACTGAATGGAAACATGTTTACCTAAGAACACTGTTGTGATTTTGTAAAAGAGATTATTGAAGGGTTCCTCAATCTATGATTATTTTTCAAACTTGTTTCCCATCCTACATCAAAGCAAGAATTTTTAAGGTACGGTACACTATATTTCTTGAATCTCTAGGGGATGAAAAAATCAGCTGAAGTCAACTACATCAAGCTGAACATTTTTCACTAAAAACTTAATACATAAATAATAATAATTTGTAAATAAATAATAAATAATAATGTATTTATTATTTACAAATTAACCTGAGCAACGCCAAGTTTTACTTCTAGCTATAAAAACGTAGTTTTTTTTTACTTCTAAACCAATTTAAGATTTTTCAGGTTTTCAGGATTCATAATTTTAAAATAAACAGAGACGGTTATTTAAAAAAAAAAATTTACTAAAATATTTAAGAAAATGACTTAAAAATACTAGATGTAGAAAAAGATTAAAGCAACAACAAGTTTATATTTACTCACAATAATTATTTGTAATTGAGGGTTTTTCATTGAATATTCTTTGATTAAAATTAACGTATAATCCAATATTATAGCGTCAAGTCAGCTCAATGTTAGTTTTAAATGTTTTAGAGGGGTAAACTGTGTGAACTGAATTAGCAAGGGTTTGAAATCAGGTCAAGGAGGATATTTGGCGCATCTCAGTGATCTTGGAATCGTAAAACAAGGTCTCACTTCTAGGGTGAACAAGATTTACGGGCATTTATTTCACACCACGCATACGCCTGTATCCCCACCCTTGAGTTTAGAAGTAGAAGATTTGCTTGAATATTTTCCTCAAAAGTTTTGCACCGGAATTACCATATCTAGCAAGTTTGAAACGATTTTAGGATAACATTAAAAATCATATGTCTCTATGTCAAACAAAGTTTAGAAAACTGAATGATCTGAATTTTTTTAACAGGTAAAAAGAACTGTGCACATTTGCAAACCTTCGAAACTGAACAAGTTTATAAAATTATTGTCCATTCCTCGGTCATCTTTTTAAAATAAAAATCGTGTGAAATGTTTTGTTGGCGTTGGAAATGTAATATAGTACGGTAATTCACCTGTAAAACACTAGATTCAGTGTTTTCTCTGATAATACATATTTCATTGCATAGTTTTCTCTTAACCATTAGCGTATTCCATGTCAAAATTTGCTAACTCACCCCGGTAAGTTCGTTTCTCATTGTTTCTCCATTGTGGTCGAGGGCGACACACAGGGCGAACGAGACAAACGCCTCCTCATGTTGTCCAAGGGCGGCCATCACAACACCTCGGCGATAGTGACCCTGAAACAACGTTTATTGTTATTTTAATTCATCCCCATAGTATTTTATTATATTCTTTGGTTTTTAAATGCCAAAATAGCTTTAAAGGGCTTTTAACTGGCATTTAATTTTTTTTTTAAGACAACACAAACAATTACAAAAATTATATTTTTTACAAAATTACAGTTCCAAACAGAGGACATGCCAAGAGCTACCTCTGAAATAATAGATTTTGGAAGTAACAATTTATGGACTGCAAAAGAAGGTCTACTTGTTTGAACTTATACTTTCAAAAAGCTGCTTAAAGTTTGTCTAAGCGTTGATGATGGTTGCTCTTTTTTCTTACAAAGTAAATTTGTACCTGTAAATAAGTTATGGTTAGGGTAAGAAATAGTAAACCAAATAAATTATCATCCTGTGTTTTGTGTGCAGAGTTCTTTAGCACAGAGAAAGTTCTTTTTGCCAAAGAATACCAAATTTTTTGGGTACGCCTAGATGGATAGCTAAAGATGTGTTAGTTTCGAACAGCCACAGAGTTAATGGCATTCATTACTAATGGAGATGGCAAGGTAGGAACCCTGACCTTGAGAACATAAACCCTGCAAACCACCAAATTGCCCCATGGCACATAAGGAATAGTTCATACCAAATAAGCCAATTTTTGTTTTGCCAAACCAAATTTTTCTAACTAGCTGGACAATGGGATACCCCCGGGTGGTTAGGCTGCCAGAGAAGTCTAATAAATACATTACTAAACTTACACCTCTGACACCAATAATAAGAAATTGTATCGCTTGGTCTCAGAGAAACATGTGTTTTAACTACCGCTAAATCCTTGAGAGAACCTATTGTCTCGTATTTGTTTATAGGTTAACAAATTGAACTCTGCAGTAGAAGATGTTTTCCTCAATATGACCATGAATATTCTAGGAAACTGACTAATCAGGACTTTCCCAGACGTTGCCACGTTGGGAATACTGTTGCACCTCCTACCTATATTGAGGATAAATCCCAAAGAAACTTATGATTGAATTAAACATGTTCACGTAATTTATCAATTCTTCCTAATTTGTTAAGGAAAATTCTGTAAATTTGTTTGCATTAAACCCCAAATAAATAAACACTCCTCTAGTCCTACAATACTGTAAAATTTGTTCTTGAGAAGGTTCAGATGTAGGGTATATTTTAGTTTAAAGACTTAGACTGAACCCTTGAAAATATGTCCTGTCTTTTATATGACGTACTGACATATAATTCAATAAATAAACTACTGCACAATGGAGAAGATACACTAACACTACACATGAGGATCCCTTTAAAATTACTGTATGTATGCGTTGCCACATAAGAATAATGTATTTCTTTAGTTCATTGTTCCTTCAAGGTTCCACAAATTCTTCAGAAAATATAATTGTTGACTGGCTGCCATCTAAATTAACATACCAAAAAATTGGTTCCGACTCAAAAAGATAATTAGATTGTCAAATGTTTGCCAGGGGAGGGAGGGGATTTGATTTACTAACCCTGGTGATAGGGAACACCTTCCTGGATTTTTTTTATTCAGTCGTTTCTGTATCCCTCAATCTTTTACCCACTAAAGATTCTCACACTAGAAATCAAAAGGATAACTTGTAGACCTACAGTGAGGAAAAAAATGAGGACAAACTTGATCATTGACAGTACTGGATTAGCAACCTTGTGCATTGACCTAGACTTAGAAATACATGACCGGACTATTGGAAAACCTATTGATTCAACCGGTTTACTGGGTAGAAAAACTGACTTCTTGCATTTTTTTTATCGGTTGGAATGCAAAAACCACCATGCCTTGGCATCAAAGTAACATGTTTAACCAAGGTGGCTGGCCATACTTTTTATATACTTCCTGACGGTTTTTGTTTCTCTTTTTTTACAGTGATTCCCCAATGAGAAAGTAATACATTAAATACTACATTTATGTTTAACCTGTAAAGAATCTTTATAAAACACCTCAATGGAAAAAATGAAATAAACAAAATGAAATAACAGTCAAACTATGGAATATCTCTCATGCCAAGAGTACATTACAGTAACTCAATAGCCATCAACAATCAATCGTTTACATTCTATCTATCCAATGAAAATTCTATTACTCTATTCACTTTACTTGATTGAAACTACCCATTAGTATACAAGTAGAGAGTACAACTACTATAACATGTGTGTGCATCTATTAAACCTTATGCATTAGTGTGCGTATAGTGTGAGTAACCACATGTAATCAACAGTATGTGTGTGTGATCCTGTTTAAGTGTGAGTACCTGATCTTATGTGAATGAAAGTGTGTGGGTAATCGTTGGTGTAAGTGTGTGTAATCTTGTGCAAGTGTGAGTCTAATTATACCAACTTGAGGCTCGTGTAGCCTTGACAGCCTACATGTAATGTAACACATTCCGTGTATTACTTGGCCATAATTACACATTCATGATGTAATGAGAGAAAACAATGTCCAGATGATCTTCAACAATACAATTGCCTCTTTCTAATTTACTATGATTGGATTGACGATTTATTTTATAGCTTGGATATTCCAGAATATATTATCAAACATTCTACGATTCATCAAAACATAGTATGGTCGAGTTAAGGTACCAAAACATATGAAAGTCATTGGCGTGAGTAGCTAATAATGAACAAGTAAATTTGACATGTTTTGCTAAGAGGTAATAAATTAGAAATTAAGTTAATCTCTTTAACCAACAAAATAAAAACAATGTTTTAACAATGCATTGTTTTAAGACAACTTATGAGATGCAAACTTGGAATGTCATAAAATAATTTTTTTAAATATTGAAAATTTAGTTGAGGTAAAAGTTTTCCTCAATATGATAATGAGTGTTGAAGTGGTTAATGATAATTTCTAAGCAAATTGGTTGGTTGAAATCTCACAAACCTAATCTTTGGATGATTCCAACCATGACTAACTAGTCTTGGATGTAATATTTTACAGTGCAATTAAAGGGTTTAAAAACATTCAATTCCTCTAGCTTCAATTGGGTTTCCTACAACTCAAATCTAAAAACTTAATTTTTAACTAAATCAGAATTTGTTGTCACTGTTTTACAAAATTATAATTTTCCTTGGAAATATTTTTAAATGGGAGAAGAGCATGTATTTAAATACTATATCCTCTAACACGCATCTCATATCTTTTATATTGTACCCAAAAAATATTGCAATATACACCATTATCTGATTCCCACAAAGACTCTGCATGTCTAGTGCTGAAAATTCTATGGTTGGCCTAGTGTTTAGAATGCTATTATGGTTGGTCTAGTGCAAAAAGTTGTATGGTTGATCTAGTGTTTAGAATGTTAAGGTTGGTCTAGTGTTTAGAATGCTAAGGTTGGTCTAGTGTTTAGAATGATATGGTTGGTCTAGTGTTCAGAATGCTATGATGGTTGGTCTAGTGCAAAAAGTTGTATGGTTGATCAAGTGTTTAGAATGTTAAGGTTGGTCTAGTGTTTAGAATGTTAAGGTTGGTCTAGTGTTTAGAATGTTAAGGTTGGTCTAGTGTTTAGAATGTTAAGGTTGGTCTAGTGTTTAGAATGATATGGTTGGTCTAGTGTTCAGAATGCTATGATGGTTGGTCTAGTGCAAAAAGTTGTATGGTTGATCTAGTGTTTAGAATGTTAAGGTTGGTCTAGTGTTTAGAATGTTAAGGTTGGTCTAGTGTTTAGAATGTTAAGGTTGGTCTAGTGTTTAGAATGTTAAGGTTGGTCTAGTGTTTAGAATGCTAAGGTTGGTCTAGTGTTTAGAATGATATGGTTGGTCTAGTGTTCAGAATGCTATGATGGTTGGTCTAGTGCAAAAAGTTGTATGGTTGATCTAGTGTATAGAATACTATGGTTGGTATAGTGTTTAGAATGTTATGGTTGGTCTGGAAGTCTAGTGTTTAGAATGCCATGGTTGGTCTAGTGTTAAGAATGGTTTGGTTGATCTTTCTCTGTGTTGAGGAACTCCCTACTAAATGTCATAAGATAATAATAACCACATACCTTGACCCAATGAGGCCTAAGTTTGATGGCAGCCTCAGCGTCAGCTAGGGCGGCTTGAGGTCGGTTGAGCCTGTACAACGTATGACTGCGATTGCTGTACACTAGGTGACTCGGTACTGCAACAAACAGTTTCATCAGCAAACATCTCATCTGCAAAGTATTATTATTATCATCATCAATTGAGATGGGGTCGCCACCTGTATTTTAACCTAAATATGAGTGAAGAAATAGAATAGGATGATCTGTGTAGCTTTGTTACTGACTAATATCAGCTGTTTCATTAGGCTGGATCATTTCACTGAAGCCGAATGATAAGGGACAGCTGGGTCCAATTTCGAACCATCAAAAAGCTACTGACTTTTCTCAGGATCGATCCGGAAACCTTTTAATTGTTAGGTGAGCACTATAATAACCATTCAGCTACCCAGCCGATATGAAACGTTACAGTAAAGAATCAATCATCTGACGACGCCAACAAATCTATGATTTGCATAAATAATTTTAAAATGTCCTTGGAAATGTGCACTGGAATAAAGTTTCTTCAGTATTCATCTGTTTTTATGCCTTAGCATGAATTGTCTATTAAAGCATAGATTCAATTTTATTAGCTGATAGCCCTTGATTTGATAAGTAAGTAATAAATAAGGATAACTAATAATTCCTACAGGCCAGCCCCCTTGCACTAAAAAAAAAAAAAAACAGTTTCTAGACCATACAGCTTTTGTCAGCAATTTTTTTTAAACAACATGCATGAAACACTACTTTAAGAGTTGAATACCACATCTGTGTTGTTATATCATAGATAAAACATAAGGGCTTAGTCTATGGTTATGTAAACATCCATCTATGATCTAAGCAGATGATTTGCTTCAGTACTGTACTTCAGAATTTCCTAAGCACATTATTGAGAAAAACACCGTCTTTGAGCTATTGTAGTGATTATTATTTATGAATTTTATTAAAAAGCAAAATTCAAATCCCTGCATAGCCTACCTACATGGAGCTTAAACTTCAATCAAGTTTTTTTAATTTTTTTTATTTATTTAGTAGTTTCCTAAATAGGCCTAATCAATGGAGAAACCTCTAAACGACAAAGTAACTGTTTGTATGAGAGTAAAATTAGAATTCACTTGGGGGTTTGATAAAAATGCTACAGGTTATGTAGAAACTACTGCGTAATTAGCATGTTTTATATTCTTTCAAGTTCATATTTCCTATTTTCCCAGAGATTCCTGACATTTATGGTTGGATTGATTGATTAACCGTTTAACTATCTTTTGTTACTCAACAAGTCATAACCATAAAAAAACCTTTCTCAGCTTTAGGTAGGCCCTTACAGGGTAATTTACAATTATATTGGAAAATTTATAGCTGGGATGTTGTTAATTATTCTTTTATGTTCCTAGGTGAGTTACAACTTGGCAGATTTACAATTATGAACATTCCAACTGTTGGGCCTTGAACTCTATAACTTGCACTGTCACAAGCAGCCTTGAAAACTATCTTTCAAGCCAAGTTTAAGGGGAAAATATCCGAGTGTTTCACATACTTTTCTGGGGGAAATTAGTTTAGGGTGTGATATTTTTACTTTTTACATATATATGTGTTAAAAATGTCATAAACATAACTTAATACGTCATTACCGAACAGTTTTTTTTTTTTTTTTTTTTTAATTAGTATTATAGAGTAAATGCTTGTAGATTCAATTTTGCTATTGCTATTTTTACTCCAAGTACAGTATTCCAGAAAATATTTTCATAGCCACGACTTATGGTGCCACGAATTGGAATATGTTATTTTACAACTGTTTTTTTAAAAAGTCATGTCAGTTAATCTAGTAATTTCTCAAAACAAAAAATATGAATATAGAATCAAAATATGGACTGTTCCCTTAAAATCCTGTGACAATATTTGGCACCTTGTTTTATGAACTAGTAACTAGTCATTAAATGACAGTAGTTTAATATTGGAATGAATTATGGATGTTAAAGTATTTTGTGTAAAGATACAAAATATAACACTTTAATATAATAAATAATAGTACAATTCAAACATTCAAAGCTTAATAATTGTAACCCGTGATCCATAGAGAGAATTTAGTTCATTTTGGCTTGGATTTTTAGGTGCAAACCTTATAACACAACTAGATAAAGAAGGAGATTCACAACCAAGAGATCCAAGGAGATTTATGCACAACAATAATTGTACACATTTCTTCAGGCTAAGGGGAGGGTTTGCACATTATCACTTCTAGATTGAATGTGGAATGCATTGGTCATTGGCGGGATTCACACCCGCGACTTTGGGGACCAAGGTCCGGAGTTCTACCAGTTTGCTTTCCTACAGAAGAAGACTTAATTTAATTCCAATCACAATAGAAGATTAAAGTTGTATATAAATTACAACACTGAAGAGTTTCCTCAAGATAACTCCATAGTGAAGTTTCACACGATAAAAACCAATAAACCTCCATAAAGGCCAACATTATTACGCACAGACACAAGGCAATGGGAGTTTACAAAAGAGTCCAGCCTCGATTTCATAATAATGGCTGTTGGCTGTTGCGATGTTACGTCCCCAGCCAAGGCTAACTCGCCCATAAACACTACAGCCGACAGCGCTTTGTTATAGCACGGACCACGGACCGGCGGAATGGACATTGGACCAGAGGAATGTGGGATGTGGACTGGACTGCGCGCATGCGCTCTACATGTGATCTGCCTCCGCGCATGCCCAGTGCATTAGTGCATATCTTTCATTTGTCACCTGATAAGGCATAAATTGAATACTGTTTGACACCTGTTTGGGTATGAATGGTCTATTGTTTCAAATTTTTCGCTTGTTTTGGCAAGAGTTGTTCAAATTAAGTATTTTGGGTAGATCTATGAGTTGTCTTTTGTTTGTTAGTTTTGGAAAATGAGTTTTAATCTGTTGTTTCAAGTTTGTTTGGGGTCGATTTGTATAAGAACATTAGTTGTCAATAGTTTGACACAAATTCATATTATTTTTGTCTAATATTTGGAACCTGTTTCGGAGAATGTTTCCTAAATGTTTAACAATGCATCTATTTTTTGCCAACTATTCAGGCTTAAGTTGCAAATTTACATCTATAAGGGGCCCAAGTTGTTTTATGTGCCACCTACAACTGTGTGCAATGAAAAACTAAATCTTGGAGACACATACGCCGTACTAAGATACTTGACCCAAGAGATAAATTATTTGTTTTGCGATCTGTCGTTAAATCTTTTATCATATCCGGGCCAAATGCTGTAGGGTAAATGGTGACAAAATTCACGGCGTATCGAAACATTTTAAAACTATTCAGGATGCAAAAATACAAGAGGTATTATTTTCTCAAAATCAAACTTGCCCCCAAATATTGTTCACGTAAGTACGCAGTACTGTTGTAGTTGCCTCTGTTGTGACGTCTCCCGGCAGCGGCGCGCCAAAATACATCTTTGATCCAAGGACAGCGGCTTGGCACCCATATAATAGCATCAACCTGTTACCTAACTGAGCCTGTAATCGCTACCAATCTGTAACCACTTAATTAACTGTGAAAACTATAAGTGAGTCGCCCGGAGGTAGAGTTTTTGTGTAGCAGATAAGCAGATCCAAAAGTTAGTCGCGTAATTTGAAACCAATCTATACTTCATGTTTTAACTGAAGGCATGTCCTACATGTGTGGTATGTGTGTGAGTGCATGTTTTTTACATGGTTGTATGAGCTTTCACTTGTGATAAAGTTGAAATTTCTTGACCTACTGTAAATGTAAGGTTATTTTGATGTGTACCTATGTCATATAATTTCTTACGTTTGTGCTATGATGTCGCATAATTGCATTTCACTTTTATGTTTACAAAAGCTGGTGGAATGCCAAATAGAAGATACAGTGAAGAACAAAACTAGTTCTAAGTATAAGTTTATACGTTGGGACTTTTGAGCCGAAAATAAATTTATCCTCAATGAAAATACATAAAAATATCTTAAATTCTTTTCAGCTTAATTCAAAATCATGAACAAATATTTTGGGAGGTAATTTTAATCCTTTGATGTATGCAGGATAGTTAAAAGTGGCAAGACTGTAACAAAAGCAACCGAAGAAAATTCTCACAAACACAGCCATGTCAACTTGAACCACTATGAGTAAACGTTTCAATACCGAAGTAAAACTCGCCCAGATTATCAGCACAGTGACGAGTGCAAGCTTAGCTTGCGTCATCCTGAATCACAAACAGGAAAACAGGTAATCAGTCGCAATTGAATTGTTTACCTGTAATCGAACATAATGTATTCAGCTGATTCACGTAATTGTGCCTTAGGCTTTAGGTGTGAGTGTAGACTACTGGCAACACATTGCATTCCAATGTTTTACACCAAATCAATTCAATTTCCATTGGCAAAGTGTGTTTGTTGCAAAACAGCTTATATTAATCAAATGCTTATGAAAAACTGATAGAGCAACTTAAAATAAATTGCGGGTTTTTTATCCCTCTATCAGCTATTTGGGTAACAAAAAAATGGAAGAGGGGACCGGCATTAAAACGATAATTTTGACTATTATAGTATCCAGTCTTTTTCTCTTAAATAAAAACTTGCCAGCTGATCCATATAAATAGGATTACTGTACGACCCCGGTATCCTAACTTTCATAGAGTGTGCCACTACAAACTTATATTTTCTCTTGCAGTTTTCATACTAGAGTAGTTGATGGAAAGAAATATGTTGAGATTTGCAATCGGTTTTTAGGTTGGGCGTTTCTGAAAAGTCGGTTTACAAGAGAGACATCTTTGTTTTAAAAACAAAAAGACTATGACAGCATCAATATATTTTACTATTGTTTAACTATTGTTCATAAAAAAGGGAAAAACAAACTTAACCCCTTTTAAATTTTAAAGTTCAACGCCCCTCTTAATGGAAACAAAGACATAAAAATGCCATACATGTCGTTTCTTTATCTTCAGCTATAAACAGGCAATGCAGAGGTCGTCTTCACACGTAAACGTTGCCTAGTTTTATGTGGTACATAAACAAGAACTCGTCTTGAATGCATCTTGGATTCCAAATGCGGTCGTAAAAGTCTAACGACCGACTGTAAAACATGCCGGTAGTTAAT